AATTCCAAGAGCATAGCTATATTGAGCCTTCCGCCCTGATAAAATACCAGGCAAGGCAAGGAGGCACAAAAACCGTCCTTGCTGGACGACATCATCTTGACTGTCAAGCGGTGCTTAATCAATGGGGGCCATTTACAAAGCCCAAAACCATAATTTCAGAAGGCACCAAAGTCCAGCCGTCTTTCAATCGGTGTGCGTTTCTCTTTGGAAAATTCTGAACGGACCGTTTAAGGAAGGGGCACCTTGTTCAGGGAAACAGGCACCAACAGCCTGCGTTGTCTTTGGGGCTTTAAGATCAGCCATCACAATGCCCGTGCCTCTCCATGAACGAAATCCTGCATTGGCCCATTCGGTCAAGCAACACCTTTCTTTCGGACCACCATTGCATTTATTTCCTTGAGGCACCAAATGCAAGTGAGTGATTGAAAGAACAGTTGAAGGTGGTCCAAAACTTCCCTTTCAAGGGGCACCGAAACACAAGGGCACCACGATTGCCCTGCCATACATTGTTGAAATCCTGGTTCGCCTCCTACGGTGGATAGGCAGCAAGTACCTTCATTGGGGGGGGGGGGGGAGGCATCATAACGTTTACTTTTATGAGCCCCAATTTAAACTGGAACACAACAATCAGACCAAACATTCATTTCAAAGCGATACAAAATCCCAGGGGCACTTAAAATAGCACTAAAGCTTTACCTTCACCGGGAACCGAACTAAGCAGGACCCCCCCCCCCCCTCTACCACCCTCATAAGTTTCATGGTTCCCATGGGTTCCAAAGGCCATTTCTTTATTCCTTGGGGCCGAAGATCAAGACCCCGATCAAAAGGTTCGAGAGGCAGGCCAGAGATCGTATGGAGGGATCACAACCTGAAGGCCGGACACCAAAATGTAAGAGTAGCTCCAGCACTGACCGGAGACCCGTGCGACTTTGTCTCTATTTGCAGCAACTGACTGAGAACAGCCACATTGAACAGTCCGTTCCGTGCTATTCTGGAGCCTAGGGGTTATTTTCTCGAGCAGACAAGGCCAAGATCTCTAAATGCCCATTAGAGGGCATCCTACATTCGTCGGGACACCTGAAACAATGAAGGACCCACATTGCTGGTCAGTGACCACAGTCCCTAGCAGGAGACCATGTGTCGGCAATGAACCCCTGGTCGGCCAGGAGCGCATATGCTGAATAGGGACAATGATAAGCCCCCGTATGTCAAAGGGTCTATTGTGCTGGTCTGGACCCTCCTGACAATGAAAGGACTCATGAGAAATGCTAAAAGGGTTTTTTATGTACAATGAGACAGTGGAGAGGCCTGTGCCAGTCAGGGACACCAGAACCGGACGAGGGATCCTCTGCACCATTTCAACCAGGGACCGATAAGGCGAACTAGTGTCTCGATACCAGTTATTGGACTTCTTGTGCCAGTAAATGGTCTGTTTTCATTAGCGAGGGCCCCTGCACCGATCCGTTGCTGGGTGTCTCAGTTGGAGGGCCAGCCGCATCGAGGAGGGGACCGGTTGTGATGCATCCTTAGCAGGGTCTCCGCACGGTTCTGTGGGTTATCACTAGACTAAAGCCGCTGGGGACCCCAGATGGGACGTCATGCCCTTCAGGTGCTGACCAGAATGTTTTACCAACGCAATTCAGTTGGCTGACCAGTTAATTATCTGAACGAATTAAACAGTTGCAGCATTGCGAGCAAGAGAGATTACGCCATTGCGCCTCCCCATTGCGCCTTCCGGAATCCGTCCCGACTACCAATCTAAAAATTGCGCTAGTGAAACATCCGCCAAGGGGACGTCTTTTACACGCATACCCATTGACTTCATAAAGCGTTGGAAAGTACCAATTTCGATACGTGGTCATTTCCACCCGTCTGTTGACCGCTGCCAGGTGTTGCTACAAGGTTCCGTATGCTACATTGGTGTAACTACAACATTGTAGTTCCGACGTCTCACAGAGCACCTTACAGAGGGGGCACCAAGGAATCACGTATAGACCGACCACAATACTCTTCTCGCGAGCCGAGCGCTTACACAAAACACTGCATTTCTACCATCTACACATAAAACAATACAACTCAACATTCTGGATGAACTACTCATTCATGACCATAAACGATTTCTAAGCAATGAAATGGATCAAACTACTAAATTATCCCTTTGGAGCAGTATCACAAATAAATCACTTAGACTGGGAACAAGACACCGATGAATGGCGCAAGTATTGGGTGATTGGCATGCAGTGTTGTGATTTGCTGTGTTGATTGTTATTCACAGCGTGTGGTGTTAATGATGTCTTCTGCACGGTTAAAGAATTGCTTTTTGTTGCCAAGTCAAAACGACAGTGAATGCCGTCCAGTGAAAAGTTTAATACTGGTTTGCATGCCCGTGTTTTATGTTCTGATTTGAAGTATTTAAGGTGCCGAAATGAAATGAAGAGCCGGGTGTATAGAAGAGTCAGTCGGCAGTCCTATACCGTGAAAGTTTTGCGAGCTTCGTGTGTCTGTTGTCTTAAAAGTATATATATATATATATATATATATATATATATGCATGGACGTATACATCATTGTTAAACGCTCTGTGCGATTCGGGCAAAAGTAACAGCCAGAACCAACACGACACCATATCGGAATGATCGGAAGAAGTAAACTTCATGGTAACTAAATCACCACGACGTACACTGCGAAAATGCTAGAAAACTGGAGAAGGCCTCATACTTCGTGAGCTCCCTACAGTTCAGGATTCTATCCACCGAAAATCTTCACATTCCGGTCATTGAGTTTTAATATGCTTATGTACGCAGTTTATATACGGGAGCCAGCTTGCCGCGCACAGTTCTAGAAAGCTAGGCGTACCTCGTACGCAAGTACATGGAGCCTTTTCATTTTGATCGGATCATGGTGGATCCTGTCATTTTAAGGCTTAAGTACTTTGAAGAAAACATGGCAACATACACTTTGGCTGTTAAATACCGCCAAAATCAAGCATAAGCTTGCTTCCTGGCTTATATACAGGGCAGTTGCAGAGGGGTTAGTAGGGCAGTTGATGAGATCAGCTGATGGCTGGGGACTGATGCAGAGTTTTTACTTTGTCTGTTGCAAGGGAGTAGAGAACATCCTATTCTTTAAAATGTAGTAAAACGTAAGGTACAAGTAAAATAACCGTCACAAATTCAATAAACAACGGAAATAAGATGCACGACGTCGGCGGCGTGCAAAATTGTGTTCGAAAGTGACAAGAACGAATTCATCGGCGTAATCGACATAGCTGCACATTCAGTCCTGGGTCGGTAAGAAGTAAAGCCCCAACAAAAATGATTAAGACTTATATACCCGTCACCGGCGTCGGCCTTCCTATAATATGGAAGAACCCGAGACTAAAAATGGCGGCACCCGGGCAATCGAAACTGCCGTGGCAGGCCAACGAAGAGGCTCCAGTGAACAGTGAATGGTCCTCATAACAAGCGAGAAGCACCTTGCACTAACATGGTAGGACCCCTGAACGGTCAGAAGCACCCCGGCAGGCTAACATATACGGTCCGGCTGGAGTACAGGATCCCCTAAACAAAGGGTAATTACCGAAGATCAGTGTACGTGAATTAACGCCCCCGTGTGGGCAAGAATGCCCGGGCGGATAAACAAAGAGAGCTCTGACAATTGAAGTGAATTTAATTGCCATCAGCAAATAAGCTCAAGAAGGGAAAGAGCCATAGGTCAACGTAGAGAGCCCCTGAGCATAAAGCGCCTCGGAGCGTTACCTTATATGAGGCCCAGCAACAGCATGGGGTCCTCCAAGCAAGTGGAAAGAACTCGATACCAAAATGAGGGGCCCCTGAGCAATCAAGTGTGCCTCGGCATTTGGGGCCCCGGCAGCAGCGGCGGGGCGGGAGAATCCGTTTACCCCGCGGGCGCAGTGGTCCCTGCCGAGCCCGCGCCACTCACCATGTCTCCGGCCGCGCCGTCGTCCGGCGCTTCTGCGCCCAGTCCGCCGGTGACCCATGGGGCGCGGCCACGCCCAGGCCAGACACGGCCGCCAGGCGTCTAGGTAATTTATAATAACCATGCTTGACTACGCATCGCGTGATCATCAGTGGAAGGCCAGGTTGACTGTCCTCTGTTGGAAAAAAAGAGGGAAATAGCAGCAAGACCCAAATATGCCTCTGTAGTGTTATCTAGTGGCAGAAGTCCAAACTAGCCCGGTTGCCATGGATACGGGCCGTTTTGAACACCAGACTTCACGACTCTGGACTTTGCGACTCGGGACGTTGCGTCCCTGGACCTTATGAGCGTCCCCAATGGGCTCGCATTTTGACGTTTTCTGGACTTTTTGAACGCTGGATGCTGCGACCCTGGACGATATGAAGACTGGACGGTGCGATTCTGGACGTTTTGATGCCTCCCCGATGTTGTCGTTAGTGTTGGCTTACCCACGCTCCTCACTGACCACCAACCGACCGACTGCGTCTAGAACCTACTCACAATCAACTGATAATTGGGAGGCCAAAATGGTGAAGGTTTTCCACTCCCATAGAACGAAAAGAGATTCACGACGTTCACCTCTAAATACCCTCATTTCCTCTGTTGAGTCTTGGGTTGCCGGACTGCGTTGGTTAATATCCACGCGTGCTTAACTCCGCCAGTTTTAGCACGCACCAGTACTAAACGCGGTTCCCCTCTTTGCAAGTACCCGTACTAACTAGGCTCGAGGACGTGTTGCGCACGAATACGTCTTAACACATCCGATGCAAGCAGCTTTTCTGAACAGAATGCTGCTCGTCTTGGTCACGGAGCGCGGTTTTGTTCGGTGAATGGCTTGGTTTGGTCTGGTTTGGTTTGGTTTGGTTTATGGTCCGTCAGCAGACTTTGACCACGTTGTTGAGTGACGTCATAGCATTGTATAAGCCAATCCGAGTATTGCCCATGCGAAAGTGCTGTGGGTCGTGCTGGGAAATACGAGAATGAATGGCGGCAATGGTGTGCAAACGCTAAACCAAGGCCATAGAGCAACGCTGGACGTCGGGTTGCGGGTGGGGGGCGGTTTCCGGCGAGATTTGACTGGCTTCTCAGTTTTGTCATCGTTGCACGTCGTTGGAATAACGTTTTGGTGGACAGGGTACAATTATTTTCCGGATGTGGAAGTACAGGTGCTGGGGGACCGCGACGTTCGGCGAATGAATATTGCGAACCTCGCAGCGCATTCGTCGCGCGTTCACTAACTCCCCCGTCCCGTCGCTAATGCCTGAGGGTGACATTCGTAACCCACAAGAGTGGTTATTATTTAGTGTGATGTAAATTTACTGGTTGTGCTTAACTTATTCAATGTTATAGCACAAGCCTGGTGGCAAACTGAGTGCAGAAAATGAAGATTTTGATTTCTGTTTGATGAAGTTACGCAGTTTGATGCCAATGTCAAACACAAGATGGTTTAGATGGAAATGTAGCAAATTTGACTGAGGGATTAGTAAATAGGCCAAGGGACCCAATGATGTGAAGTGGTGTTGAGCTCATCATTGATAAAATTTCAAGATTCCTTCTTAACCATGCTGAAACTTAAAAAAATGAAGAGGACCTTATCTGATGCAATTTAAGGCAATCTGGTCTGCAATGTGCCAGTGTTTCATTTAGGTACACTGCTGTTAAGACAGAAGGTTTCTGTGCAATGGAGGTCTCCAAGGCTTTGGGATCAAGACTGTTCATGACAAATGCTGTAGAAACAAGAGATGAACATGATGAGGTAAGTTGATAAAGATCTGTCAGTTATTGTTTGCCACACTGTGGAATACCATTGATTCTGCTCAGCAAGGAATCCTGATATATCAATCCACATTATTTTGAAGTTCAAATCATTTTGACTTGTTTTGCTCATCTTGGTATTTTTTGGGGGCATTTTATTGGACAATGATGTATGCTTATTTGTAAATATATGTATATATATATATATATATATGTATATACACATATGTTTATATACATATACATATACATATATATCAACTTGGCAAGTGATTTTTAATTCTGAATGGAGAGGAAATAATGTCTTGCTGGTGCTGTATGATGCCATCAAAGGCCTGAATGGACGCGTGCTGTCCATGGCGCATCATTGAGACACAAGTTATGCTTTTGCTCTCACCTCATTCCAAGTTATGCTTTTGCCACAGTATGTCTGTCCTTCACAGCATTGTTTCCAGCAAGTAAGCTTACCACATCATCTTGATAGCATATTACTGCATTGGTGTTAGGTTCATCAGACCATGCAATGGCAGTGTTCTCCTAATGGAAGCTGCAGGAAGTTTGTCACATGGAGTCTATCCTAGCTGATGTCAGTGCCTGCACTATAGATAAGCACATGCTGCACATGTATATGCTTATGGACATGGTACTCATGGCTGCTCAGCCATACTTTCATTGCCTTTGAAGCTGAATATCTCATGAGATGCCATCCTGACTTATAGTTTTGCATAGATTGCATTTGCATATGAAGATTCTGGCAATAACAGTGATTGGATCTTGAATGGTGTAAAAGTTTTGGGATTTGAGAAACATCGGAGCTGAAACCTGAGCTTTCAGATGTCATTTCAGTCATATTCTTGCTGCTTAGCATGGTGTTTTAGAAAAGTTTTTCATTGCACAAGATGGTATTCAGCTGTCTAATATTAACTGTCTTGCTTAAAGCCCATTTATTACCCAAGTATTAGAATCACCTGTATATAGATCCCTAGCTAGTCTGAAGCAGCAGCAAGAGCATCTGTGTACTATGATTGCCTCAATCCCATTAGTCTGCTGGTGAGACACCTTGAAGCCAGCAGTCATAAGGTATATTCATAATAGGTGGCAGATCATTTTGACAAGCAATTCAAGGTTATAAAATAGTACATTAGAGAATAGGAATCATCATATCAGAGCTTAGTTGAATAGGTTGCCCATTGGTGGCAATGATTTGGGCACAACCATGCAACATGCTTCTCTTGTGGATAGGGGCATGCCTGCCACAGTGTGGAGGATATGGGGAGCATCTGACAGTTGAGCATGACCTTGTGACCTCCTGCTGTTACTTTGTCATGTGTGTTTCCCAATTTCTGGGCCAGAACCCATGTTGTGGCATCATGTATTTGCTTTATTAGCCTGTATTGATTTCAGCGTAATCTAATAGTTTTTGAAATAGCTGAAGGTTGTCACACAGTCACCCACTCTGGAACACTAGAATTGTATTGTATAATTGTAATTTACTGGAGAGTATCATATGTATACAATGCATCCAGGTCTTATATATGTGTATATATATATATATATATATATATATATATATATACACACTATATATATATATACACTATATATATATATATATATATATATATATATATATGTACCATATATTGCTATGAACTTGCTGCATAGTATCATATCTATGCCATGTTTCTACCTCCTAAGCAGCCCGATGGTTGTTGGGAACATTCATCGTGCAGTCTGTAATTATAATGAAAATATGGTCATTATTAGAGACACAAACCATTCAGGTTTAGTTGTGTGTTGCCAGTGTTACTTAACAGGTGATTGGATGGGGGGGGGTCACATCGACGCCTGTGAAGGTTTTTCCAGATTTTTTTTTCAAAAAAGAAAAATTCTGAACAGTGGCCTGGCCACACCAAATTTTGCATGGCTCTAAACAACTGAGTGGCAGATTGTTGGCATACAAACTTTATATGTACCTCGTGAGGCTGTTGACATATGGCAGGTCAAAGTCAGGCCATGGTTTCAGCAAAGTCAATTTCTGGGGAATTGTTCAATCTGATGCAACAACAGAGTGTGAGATGAAGCCATGCATCTCTGAGATGCTTTCTTAGGTAACACAACAGTTGAGTGAGCAAATGACATTGATCTAAGGTCAGGTATGAAGGTCAGACCAAGATAAAAAACTTTTGGTACTCTGGGGCTTGCTGTATGGGATAGTTTCTGGTGCTCATTTCAAATTTGTTTATGGCAGGAACTGCACTGTACATCTTCCATGGACTTCTGAGAGGTCAGAATAGGTCATTAACCTAAAATGACCCTGGGCAATATTTTGTTTTTAGGAATGTACTGCCTAGCATAATCCTTGTAATTTATTCAAATGCAAGACTCAGAGCAATCCTGTATGATTTTGGTCACCATGACCTTCAAAAGGTCAAACAAGGTCACTGACCTTAAATGAGCTTGTGACCTTTTGCTGAGAAACAGTTACCTAGGTTCTTGGGGCGTTTTGGAGACCAGCCTGGAGGTTGGCCTTGTTTGATGTTACTTGACCTGAAGGCCATTTTTTATTTTGTTTATTTTAGGTGTATTTTATTTTATGTTCTATTATTTTATTTTATTAGTTTATCACATTATATATATATATATATATATATATACATATATATATATATATATATACATGCATATTGTTGCATAGTATATATTATATATTCATATCATGTTTATTTTATAAGAATACAAAAAAATTGAAAGTGATTGAGCATTATCTGTTTTTCCTGATGGTGAAACAACTACTCTAGATAGAGGTGTTTGCAGTGAGTCATCTTGCAATACAAACTTTGATAAAGGCTAGCAACAGTTAGCAAGTTCCTCTAATGGACACCATTGCCTACATGAGCATGTATGGTGCTTGATGATGTATGATTATGCACACTAGATGTTGCCATTGAACCATTCATAATATGACCCAACCTAATTTTCTATTGTGTTAGGATACCATCTCATCAACATGCATGATGAGCTGTGTGTGCAAGGATGTTATAGGGAATTAAGAAAAGGTGTCACACAAAACCCATCAGAATGTCATGCAGGATATCAGTATTACAGCCACCCAGGCAGCAGAACAGTTTTCCACATGCTTTACAAGACCTAGTTGTTCATTAAATGTTTCTGTAGATACTATGCCAGGGTATCAACTTCCTTCAACTTGACAGACATGCTCGCGTTTGGCGCACGAGCGTTAGCTGAGTGTGTAATGAGCGAGCAGTTGGCGCCTTCGGCTTCCCCGTTGGGGCCGCTTGCAAAATTTAGTTGGTCATGGCACCTCGGTGTTAATATGGCTTCTGTAATCGCTGGCGATCCATAAAGGGTGATGACGGCATGCGTTGCGCTTCCTTTTAGTGAAGGACAGTTTACCAGAAGGTATATTGCTGTCATTGAGTGCCTTCTTGAAATCAGTACAGTCCAAAAGACCGTGACGGACCGGATCGCGATGAGACGCATGAGAACGGGGCACAGACATGCGCCGACTGATGCAGCTCAGCGACTCATCTGAACGCATGAGAACTGGACATAGAGGTGTGTCGACTGGTGCAGCGCAGCGACACATCCGAACAGTGTTGGGGAGAAGTGTGTCAATGTGGATGAGATTACAGGACTTCGGATTGGCCGTTTCGGCGAGGAAAGTCTCTGGCCTGGAGGTGCCCGATGTGAACCCGGAATAAAGAGGACGCCGACTGCGGCCAGGATCAGCCGGCGGCGCTTGGCACCACCATCCAGGGGGCGATGCGGCCTTTGTTGGGAGCGGAGGGGGGGGGGGGGGGGTGAGGTGGTTCTCAGTCTGTCGCGGTTGCCAGCGCGGAGGCAGCTGTGAACCATACCCTCAGTTTCACCAGGACGAAGTTCTCGACAGAGCAAACGCTGCCCTTATAACGGATGACACAAAAAATAAAACGAAACATGATGTCTGCCATGACGATGGTATGTGATGTTTAAGAGGAGGCGTTCGCTTCAGGAAAGCGTGAGGTGACACGCTAGCTCAAATTAGACTTGCCAACCAGCGTCTTGTAGTGTGGGTATGTCGAATTTCAAGGTTTTGGGTAAAAGATGACCTCTTATAGACGATTTTGATCTTTCGGGTTTGGGCTTGTTTCGTAATGTTGGTTTCCCAATCAGGGATTTGTTGAATTTTTCCCTGGTTGAAGCGAACACATTTCAGTCTGTTCCTCACCCGTTCCTCCCCCCCCCCCCCCCCAGGCAGCTGTAGTCTGCAGGCCTCAAATGTCAGAATGTCTGCTTTCATCCGTCGGATGTATTGGGCCTCAGTATATTGATTTCAGCACGTGTTCCATAGGTGCTTTGTTAGCCCCATGCGAGACCAAAACAAATACCTCTTTTGAAACTCAGTTGTGCAAAAGGCGCACGTCAATTGCATTAAGTGAATGTCATTTGCTCTTCTATTTGCACACAACATGGGGTCCCAGAGAGTGTTGTAGAATTTACAGTACATTGTTACAGGATGTCCTGTAATATTGCGACGTTGTTGAAGACAATGCGCTTTACACTTTGACTATGTCGTAAGGTCTGGTGTACATCCAGTTTTCAAAAGAAGTGCATGGAAAATCCACTGCATGCTTTTACGAGGATTTAGGGCATATGGTTTGATGCTGTTAGATGGCTGACGTGTTCAAATTGTGCTATGTTTCAGAAGTATGATAAGTGCTACCAGATGGTGCAGAGTCTTACCTCAGGTGTATCAGAAAAGGAGGCTCATGATGCCCTGAACAACAGCATGTCCAAAGGTCCACAGGCTCATGATGACATATCTCAGGGCCTACTGGTGTGGGTCCTGTCTGACCCAGCATCTGCCAACAAGGTGAGCTGGAATATAATGTTTCTGCGTGTTCTATTTCACCTTTTGTATTCTTTATATGTGATGTTTTGTCCCTTCTTTGCTGAGAATGCAATCGTTCCTAGCTGGAGCTGCATGAAAAGCTCTTGTGCGAGGCTTTGCTGTGGTTTCGTGGGCTGGGGAGGCTAAGGACTACCAGGATAGCATCAGGTTGCAGAGGCCTGTATGGACTGCGGGGATAGTGCCGCGTGGCAGTGGTTTGTCCCAGGGACTGTATGGACTACCGGAATAGCACCAGGGGCAGAGGTCTGCTCCGGAGGCTACATGGACTACCGGGATAGCGTCGAGCGGCGAAGGGCTGTCCGTGAGCGGAAGATATATGGCTCGCTGGTAGCATCGGTAATAGTGTCTCTTGTGGTCGAAAAGCCAGACTTTTGGATGGAAATGTCCTAGCTCGATCCCCTTCACAGGAAACTGTTGCGGTGTCCATAACGGCGACGTCAAGGACCGTAGCATGCAGTTCACGGTCATCCCATTTTTGAGGCCTAAAGTCCTCTGGTTCTTGAGCAGGAAGACCCTGAAGATGTGTAGACTGATTGTGCGAGACTTTTTCAATGTCATCCAGGCATCTATGACACCAGAATAACGTCATTCAAACCCTGCCATTCCATTAGCCGTACAGCGATCAAGCTGAGGACAAATGAAATTGTCGAGTCGCTCATATCTGGCGTTCGTGAGCACGATTTCCAGATAGAACGACCGCCAATCGACTCTGAACCACTGTTGTGCAAGGTACGATGACGCAATCAATGACGTATTGAGGACCGTGGTTACAAAATAGAGAAATTGTGGCGTGCAGAGCCGCTTTACCCTAACCTCCGACTGTCGTGGGCGAATGTGCGAATACTCATCTAGCTCGTCTCACCCCCACCTGGTTTTCGATGTCAGAGATACGAAATTACTGTAGATTGCCCAGTTTTCCGTCGGAAAATCCTGACATGGGGAGAAATTGTTTTGAGAATACGTGAATTGATGGGTGGTACTTGACGTTCTTCGCCGCCGCAATGTCGTTCCTCGTAAAAATTAATAAAGATTGATAAGTGAGCGACACGGGGCTTGAGTTCCAACACATTTCGCTTCCATTGATATACAACGGGTGGCTGGCATTTGGCCAGATGTTGTACCAGACCATGACATGGTAATGCTATGCTCCGTTTCCGGGGGGGGGGGGGGGGGGAGGGGAGGAGGGCAATCAGGCTGTGTGTTCCTTTTCGAGGTTGGTCGATTAGGCTGTGTGATGTTCCCTGGGAGGTAGGCCGGTCAGACTGTGTGGTGTTCTTTTTGAAGTTGTGCCGATCAGGCTGCGTGGTGTTCCCTTTGGAGGTGTGCCGGTCAGGCTGTGTGGACGCGCGCGATGTTCGACCCGAGGTCGTTACCTGACGTTTCAAAACGACAACTACGTTCCTTTCGTTTGTTTCAGATATACAGGGACTTGACTTTAGTCACGAGAGATGGCTTCAGTGCAGTTATTGCACAAATGCAGTTCCTCATCATGGAGAAATACACCAAGCTTCTAGAGTCGGCAAAGCAGCAGTTGGTGTGGCTAATCCGAGAAATGATTCGGTGGGTCACTTTCATGACGTTTTTATCAGAGGATATTGGTAGCATGTGATTGACCCACCTATTGAAAATGTTAAGTGAAAAGTGAAGCCATAGAAGAGGCATGCTCATTGCATATTTATGTAGGTCCTGCAGATCGGTTTTGCCCTAATTTGAGGGGTGCCACCTTATGTCGTCCGGTAACAGTTGTAAAAATGTTCTACTGCTGTAACCAGTTGACCCGATTTCAGGAACTCAGTGAATGGTACGGACGCGCTCTGCTGGAACTTGATGCGGCAAATTGTTGGTGGAGATGTGTCACCAAAGAACATTTGGCTGGCGGAAAGCCTCTTGGACATCTATGTCGAGAACAGGTAATGTTTTGATGGTATCTAAGAAATATCCCCTCGTAGATCTTGAAAGTTTTATTTGTGACAAACGAATTGTGTGTGAGAATGTCGATTTGAAGAGTGTGCTATGTGCTAGCTTGAAAGGCTATTGTTTATCGTTGTGTTGACGGTGGCCCTCTGAAATTCCTGTCATGTTTGGCAGTGTTACGCCCAGCTTATATGGCCCCGAGTGACCCGTACCAGAACGTTGGTGTTCAATTGGGTCCCGATGTTCACCCACGACGGAAATGTTGCGTGGACAGCCAAGTGGTAACTGGCCACCATGCATGATGTGGTGGCCACCGACGAACAATTACTACAGCACGATTAGTCACGGCTTTGGACCCGTGGGTCAGTTACACTCATCCTAGCACTTGTCATCATTGTGCTCATTGTATTGTCGTCAGGACAGATTCGGCCATCGTGCGGGTGCGTGTGACACCCTGTTTGGAGCGCAGTACCGCCCCCCCCCCCCCCCCCCCCCCCCTCAGCGTCGTCACGCTCACGTGCCGGCCGCAGATCGTGGCTGGAGAAGCACCCGTTCCTGGTGGCGTCGGCCGTATACTCGTACCTACGCATCACGGAGGACCACCTGGCGCCGCCGTACCACGCGCTGCGGCAGAAGGAGACGGCGTTCGTCGTCTCCCTGCTTCGGGAGCGGTGAGGCTGGCCGCTGATCGGCTGGAGCGGACGAAATAGGGCAGAGGTGCCGCAAGTGAAGCTGCCCAGAGTTGCTGTGGGCGATCCTGTCTTGCTGCTCAGCCACAGTGGGAGAGGTTGTTGGCCGTCTGTTGGAAGGTCCTTGTTGCGTCACGGTGGCTTTGTGTGGCGGCAATTTTTGAGAGAGCTCTGTAGAAGGATTCGAGGGAGAGCAGATCCTACTGTGGGGATGGACGCGATTCGGCACATCGGGTTCTTGTTGGTGAAGGTAAGTCCCGGTTTCATGCTCAAGAAGTGGTTCTGCCCCGAAGAGGACGCCGCTTACTGTATGGCCCGCGTCGCCGTCCTGACATCACCAATCGTCACATGACCAGCCTCCGTTGCCGGTCCCGTCTCCCGCACTGGCTTGGCTTGGCGCGGCGGCCGGCTCCCATGCCCGCCGCGTCCGCGGCCCGGCCCCTAACGGCGGGGCGTGCCCACGATCTGCTCCCCCCTCGCTGACGGTCCGGCTGTGTGTGCGGCAGGTTCGCCGACTGCATGATGATCGGCCGGGACCTGGTGCGCCTGTTGCAACACGTCTCCAAGATCCCCGAGATCGAGGCCGTGTGGCGCGACCTGCTGCACAACCCTACCGTGTTCCTGCCGACGTTCGGCGGTGAGGCGGCTGGGCACCGCGCAGCCAGCCACCAGTGCCACGCGCCCGTTTGGCTAGGCCTTGGGGAGGGGCGGGGGAGGGGAGGGGAGCGGAGAAGGCGTGCAGGGCACGCGGTGTTTGGTGTTAAGGGTTGCGAGAACGGATTTCAACACTTTCCGGCGTCAAATTATTTGTCCCGTAAACAAACGTGTTGGCATGTGCTGGTTACCTCCATCGGTGCGATGTGCCAACTTTTGTGCGACCGACAGTGTTGTTGCTGGGCCCCAGGCCTGATGCAGCTGATACAGTCAGCACCCAGGTGGAGGACTTGGTGTTGTCTTGCCAAGGCTGCTGCACCTGGTGCAGTTCCTCTGACTTGGTGTTGTCTCTCCAGGCCTGCTGCAGCTGATGCAGTCGCGCACATCACGCCGCTTTCTGCAGTGTCGCTTGACGCCCGACATGGAGAAGAAGATCGTCTTCCTCACCTCGCAGATCCGCTTCGGCATGCAGAAACGCTATCAGGAGTGGTTCCAGCGCCAGGTAAGTAGTACAGCTCGGCGGCGTGGAGCCAGCCGGCTCCCTCGCCCGTCGGCGCTCTTCGCGTGCTTGACGCCAGCCGCCACCCCGACACCAGCCGCAGTGACAGTACACCAGGTCAGGTCAGACTCATGCGTTCCCTCCACGTCAGCTGGCTGTGGCCAGCTCCCTGATCGCGCTGTCGTGCCTGACGGCACACGTGCGCACCCTCCACGACAGCCGGCTGTGGCCAGCCCCCTGACCGCGCTGTCGTGCCGGACCGCACACGTGCGTGCTCTCGGCGACAGCCGTCTGTTACCAGTCCCCTACCTGACTGTCGTGCCTGACCGTCGTGCCGCTGTTTCCGCCGGTCAGTACCTGTCGACGAGTGAGTCCCAGTCGCTGCGCTGTGACCTGATCCGCTTCATCGTGGGCGTGATCCACCCGTCGAACGAGCTGCTCTCGTCGGACATCATCCCTCGCTGGGCTGTCATCGGCTGGCTGCTCACTACCTGCACGGCTCAGGTCAGCCGCCGGCGCGGCGCCGCCCGGCAGGAGGTCGGCGGCAGCGCCCAGCTGCCTGGGCCCGCTGCAAGCCGCGTTATATGGCGTATTCAGCGCTCTTGATAAACTCTCGGGGAGGCAACTAAGGCGACTGACACTTGTTCTGAGGAAAGGAGGAAATCAATTATGCGTGGTAATTAGTCTAGTCAGAATCGCTGTCATACTTCGTTATGGATTGAATCACACGCATTTAGTTGAGCAGCGCGGGATAACCATGCCTTTAGTGGGCCCTACAGCCCAAAGTGTTATCATCGTTGTAGTCAATCAAAAAGCAAAATGGAATCGCTCTTACCGAACGCCAGCTGCAGTGCGGGAGAGCTGGATGGCTCTACACTCATTGGCAAACGCACGGCTTGGCTTCCCACACCAGGCCTGCGCCGCGATATTCCTGTGCGGTTCGTGCAGAGAAGGCACCAATATACGTTCGTTCGTCGTCAGCCACACCTAGTGGGTCAGGTTCACAAATCAGGTCCAGTATTTACTGTGCGATGTTTTTAGTAAAATTGCTGTGCTCGTGCATTGCCGTAAGTGGACGTGCGGACCAGTCTGCCATCCGCAGGGCAAGAGTCATCTGTTGCTTCCTTCTGTGTCCGCCAGGTGGCCATCGCCAACGCCAAGCTGGCCCTCTTCTACGACTGGCTGTTCTATGACGCGGAGAAGGACAACATCATGAACATCGAGCCGGCCGTGCTGGTGATGCACTTCTCACTGCGGCCGCACCCGGCCATCACTGCCACCCTGCTGGACTTCATGTGTCGGGTGAGCCTCGGCAGCCGGGGCGGCGGTGGCGGCCGGGCGCCGGCCCGCCGCCGTCTCTGCCCCTCGAGGCGGTCCCCTGGGGGGAGATGTGTTGAGGTGAGCCGGTCAGGCCGTGTGGAGTCGCATGTGGTGTTCGACCGGAGGTCGTCACCGGACGTTCATCCGCTATCGTGGAGCGGTCGTGATGCGCCATCAGGCATGGTCTGACCCGATCTGACCTGACCTGACTGGACCTGCCACAGGTGATCCCGACTTTCTACCCGCCGCTCACGGACAGGGTGGGCCAGGGCATGTTCACGGCGCTGCGTCAGATCATCAAGATGCGCGTGCTGCCCTCGTTGTCGCCGCTGTTCCAGAACGCCAAGCTCGACAAGGACCTGCGCAAGATGCTGCGGGACCGGTTCACGGAGTTCTGCACCGATGGTGAGGCGGCCGGCGGGGTCAGCTGACCAGCAGCGACACATGAGACCGGTCTCCCCTCTACTTAGTCCCTTTCTCATGCAGCAGCTGTGCGGTTGCAGAATGGCTGCTGAATGCGGTGTTGTGGCAAGATTTTTTCAGCATTTGGTGTCAACTTGGACCGTTTTGAGAGAGGAAATTGTGAATTGTACAAGGTGTGCGGAAATAAAAGCAGGAGTGCATGACAGAAAACAGTGTGGACCAGGTACGACCAGCGGCTGTTGCCACGTGTTTGTTGGACTTACCCATCTGAGTGTTGTCTTGTGTTGTATTGTGGACTGTTAGTTTCGTCCACCTGAGATTACTTCCATCACATTCGTGGCTGATGTGGCCGCTGAGAGATATTCCAGTTGAAGGTGGTTGTCAGGTACCGGGTCGCGCACTGCCCACACGGCCGGCCCTGCTCGACCGTTGAGTTGACACTCTCTCCCTCCGCCCGCCCCGCCAGTGGTGGTGAAGTCGGACGAGTACCATGACATGCCCGGTGCGGAGCCCATGCAGACCGGCCACGACTTGGTGATGCCCAAGTCGCCGCCGGCTGACGAGGCGGCCTTCAGCGACGAGGAGGACGAGGTGGTCGGTGAGTGACGCTGGCGGTTCCCTCCCCCCTCTCCGCGGGCGGTGGGGCGGGCCTCACGGTGCCGCGCCGAACGGCAGCCAATCCGAGGACAGACGCTCGTCGGTGGAGTTTGGCGCCGTGTTGGAACGACTGTGGATTTCGTTTGATTGTTCTGTGGAGCAGTTGTGACGTGTCCTGCTATAAGGACGTTAGATTCAGTACAGGTTTTCTTACTAGGCGTATTAGTAGCGACACCTAGCGGCATACCACCAACTGCCGTGGATCCATCTGCTGGATGACACCGTTTCCAGTGCAGGAACAGTTGCTCTGGTGGTATGTTGGGTCGTGGGCCGTCCCCTGGCCATGTTGGCGGTGACCGGTGTCGCCGTGCCGCCAGCCATGCCGGTGAAGACGGAACAGGCGGCCCCGGAGCCGGCGGAGCCGGTCGCGGCGCCGCCCGGCCCGGCCGGCGACGAGTCGCCGCAGGCCGCCGAGCCGCAATCGCCACCCTGCGGCGAGGAGTTCGCCGAGGCGCTCGAGTTGTTGGGCCCGCCGCTCCGCGAGCAGCTGACTCGGCTGCGCACCGAGACGGACCTCGAGCTGCAGTCAGTACCAGCGCCCTTCCTTCCCTCCACCACCGCCTCCTATCTGACTAGATGCCGGCGCATTGGGCTAGTCTCATTTTGCAGCAACTGGGCTGGGAAATGTGGCTTTCAGTGGGTGAAGGCATGTTTAGCTTTAGCTCGAGGCGGAATGGTGAACTTCTGGGCTTAGCATATTGTATCGTTGGTTGGTTGGTTGGAATGGCACCGAGAGATGTGCAGTGTGGTCAGCTTGTGCTTGTAAACATTCGGGCAGCTCAAATGGGCTTAGCGATTGGACGCGCCTCCATGACTTCACCAGCCAGCCTACCGTAAACCTGTCGGTAAGACAGCCGCCCGGCACACGGGAGGCGTGCCGGCCGCTCTTGCGGACTGCTAACGAGCCGCTGTCGGCCAGATGCGGGGCGGTGGAGCGGCTTTGCGTGGCCGCCTGCGAGTACGAGCTGCCTGAGGAAGAGCTGAATGCCCTGGCGCTCTGCCTCTCGACGCTTTGTAGCAAGACGCTCAACTCGAACATCTACCCACCCGAGGAGGACAACCACGATGAGTGAGTGGAGCCAGCGGCGGGCTAGCGGCCGAGTGGAGCCAGTGGCGGGTCGCTTTGCCGGCGCCGGCGGCGCCGTGTGGTGGACCGGCGCTGGGAGCGAGGTGTTTGTCAGGAGCGGGCTGGCCCGTTTGCCGACTTTCTGGACGGCGGTGATGGAGCAATCGTCAGGCGTGACGATCAGTGTTTTCAGTTGTGTTCCGAACTGTCTGCTGCCGGCTGGGAGCAGTCCGTAAATCGAGCGGGGGTCGCCGGTGAAGGTCCGTATCATATTGTCCAAGGTACAGAATATCCAAAGGTACAGAATGTCCAAAAGTACAGAATGTCCAAGGTACAGAATGTCCAAAGTTCGTAATGTCCAAAGCACACAATGTCCAAAATGAGAAGTAACTTCCAACATGGTGCAGAGTGGAAGGAGTCCGTATCATAATGCCCGATGTCCAGAAGGTCCAAAGTACATAATGTCCAAAGTACAGAATGTCCAATGTACATATTGTCCAGTGTACAGAATGTTCAAAGACCAATGCTTCCAAACTAGTTCCTGGAGCGGCCGCCAGGGTATGAATAATTGCCCTTATTGGCATGCAGCATTGCCCCGCCCAGCGCCGGCCGCGCGCATACAGTCAACACCATTACGAAGACCACGCGCGTGAGGCATGCCGGCCGGATTACTAGCTCAGTAACAAACCCATGTCCGCTCCACGACGCGATGGAGCCGGCTGGAGGTGCCGCGCCGAGCATTTGTCGCTGATTGTCAGTTTGCCTGCATTTTGGGCTGCTAAAAAACATTGTAAGCAGGCGGAATATGAAAAGGAATTATAGCCGCGCTATGCCCGAAAATAGACTTTTCGAAATCGATGCCAGCAGTGGGCAATTCTGGACGCTGATCTTGACTGCTCGATTATCAGTATCATGCAGACATAAGTTCGGGTTAACAAGTTCAAACAAGTTAAAATAACAAATAAGCTCGAGTTGATAATCGTATCCGTCATCATACACCTGCATTGTGGTTACTGTGGGATGGATTTTAGCAAAAGCAAGCTAACATCAAAAATGTTTCGTGGTCAGTAGCGAATATCGTTGAATAAGGGTGAATATTCTTCAATATGGTATTATAGAAACACACCATGTCTAGCAAGTGCGGAGAGTAGATCGGAACACAGACGGTCAAATTTGAAGCCATAGATGACCAGCACCAAGAATAAGGTCAAGGTGTCCAAGGCAATAATTAAAGCGCCATTTCTAAATGTACTTCACACGCCGCTAATGTGACGTCCCAAGAGGATGCATGCTTGCTTGCCTCGAACAAAGTTGGCGATTGCGCGCAACAATTTAAATATATGAATACTTGTCTCCTGCCGTTAAAATGTCTTCCTTACAGCTAATGTTTCTTGTGCGATGCTGCATCTATCAAACCACGCACGCGCTGCAGTTACATAATGCGACATTAGGTATACATTACGTGTTTACCTGTCATGTTTTGCTACCAGCGATGTGCACACCTTCTGTATTTGTGCGCCACTGAGATGTCCAATGAACCGGTCTGAAATCTTACGTTTCGCTTATCCCAACTGAACTGTCCCTGTACTAATGTTCCTGGAGATTCGATGTCTTGCCCTTTTTTCATTTCGTTTCAATCCTTTGGCACATACATGACGAACTTTTACCCCCAACGGAACATTAGGGTTTCCTGGAGCGGTCAACTAGAATGAAATTGGGATGAGGAATGCTAGTCGTGCTACCCTAAGTTCGTGCATATTGTTTGCAGGGGTCCCGTATTTATATATATATATATATATATATATATATATAATGTTTGTATATGCATATAATCAATAATATAAGTATTGGAACCCATGTTGCACTGTGCAGGCCTTAGAAAACGAGGACTAAAATAGCTAAAGCAAATTAAGGCTAAAAGCTAGTGCTACTTTGACTAAAAAGCTAGGGATGTAATGCACATATCTTTTTATCTTAAAATTTAATGACATTTTTTTGGGGGAGCCCCAAATTCAAAGGGGCACCACAATGCTGCGCGCTCCCCCTCCCCTTCACGAAATACTGGATCCGCCCCTGTTCGCAATCATTCCGTTGTGCAGTGGTAGCACGGTATACTCCTGTTCTTACATGACGTCCTCTATAAAGACGTGGTCCACATATGCATAATGCGTTTGGTTCACCTTGCTACGGCTTGTTTTTGGACGTGAAGAGGAATTACATCGAGGAGGCGCTATAAAGCGGCATCGGACACTGGTTTTGACGGATATATATGGTCATGGAATACGAGGAGCATTTCCCATTTAATTCAATTTGAAACGTATTTTGTTCACACGACTGAAGGCGAGAAGAAACGCGCAACGCCCTTAATATTTGAAATTCCATGGCTGCTTTTTCTTTAGTCATGGGCGTGTCGATGCGAAGTGTAGTATCATCGGGGCACCATGGGCTTGAAGCGTATTGCTGTGGTTTAGGTCCCATCTAGCAGTACTGCAAATATGGTGTCGAGGAAGTGATCAACTTTTTTGAGCGTTCTGTGCCGGTATGACAGACATGTTGGGGTAACGTTTCTAATTTTAGCACAGAAATCTAACCAGTCAGTCTCCTAGGCTCCGATGTAACAAATTTCGTCAGTATATCTGATTCGCAACCTTGATTTAAGCCTCATTTCGAAAGACGTGTGAATGAAAATAAGTACTAGAGCTAGGGGTGGTGCACGGCTATTACCTATAGCTATACGCTCAAGTTGTGCACTGAGTTTGCGAAGAGCACCAGGCTATTGTCAAATCTGTGACATGGTTCTTGGAAAAAGTCGGAAGCACTCAGTTGGTGTAATACCGAAGAATGATATGCTATCAAGTTTTCCCCGATTATGTTCACTGTACCGACCCTATTCATTCTGTAATTGGAGTGTTCCTACAAGTTGTTGCATTCTTTGTCACGTCCAGCGTTTTCGCGTGTAGTGATAGTATCTGAAGCAATCCTTAATTATTTTTACTATATCTGGATTCATCTTTCTTCTAGTTATATGCCATAAAAAGCCATGATCGCACATGCGACCCGCCGATGACACATGCGCGTTTTGGTTCATGGAACTAGCTCATGCCAGGGTTCTTTGCCGAAATCGATAGAAAAAGGACTGTCATAAAAACTTTATCAAACTTGTCATATATGCCTCAATCAGAGGTGTAGGAACGTTTCAAAAAGTGAGGGGCCAAGCTCAGGGCGTACTTCAGGAACTTTTTCTGGAAAGCGAGCCCGATGACCGGCGGGATGGGATGGAGGTTGTTATTGCTCTATTCAAATATGACTGCTATGCTAGATATGCATCTAGAGCTGTTTCTCACTTGTACACAATCTTGTCTTTTCGACTCACCTGCCATTCGGCAAATAAAGTTATTCAGCTTCGCAAGATTATTTGTTTATTTTTACGTTGTCCCTCCTTGGGAAGCGAAATTGCACGGGCGGGTTGGCATTTTGGGTCATTAAGGAGGCATCTGCCTCCACAGTGTAAATGCCAAAATACGGCCCGGGCATAGCTGGTGAGAATTTTGGAAGTGGATCGATGGCTCACAGTGCTTTTAAGAGCCAAGCCACATAATAATCTGTCATATGTTCCTTATCTGGGCCCAGCTCCTGTCCGCCGTCGGTGGCCACTGCCCTGACCCGGATGTCTCCTGCATGACTGATTGCGAGTTGATCGTATGACTACTTTGTTGCATACTTTTGGACCAGCGTTACTGCTACATGGTGTATGAAACATGTGTTGGACACCTGCAACAGTATTTTTCCGAATTATCTTCCCTCATACCACACCATCGCAGGAAAATAGCCCCCGCGAAGCTTTCCGCATTGGGTATGGATTGACCCAACGGACACTTCGTTGTCCATCATGCAACATACGCGACTTAATCTGCTTTTGTGTGTAGGCAGGGGCGTAGCCAGAGCCTTGTCAAGGGGAACACAGGGTTGACAAAAGCCCATGTTATCGTGATACCCCCCCCCCCCCCCCGAATCCCCGGATATAGCGTTAACAAAGGACACATTTTTCTTCGTTTTAGTGTTGTTTTTACCTTGTAACCTGAACGGAAACAAGGAGCTACCGTGAGGGGTGCCGGTAGTGCAGTGGTTAACGCGTCTGCGTTAACCACTGCGCGTCTGGGAAACCAGAGGTACGGGGTTCGATTCCCCGCGGCGCCCGCCCTTCCTGCCAGTCATGCAGGCGACGCCATATAGCCTCAGCAGCTGAGTGCGTCGTAAAGTCCCAATGACACGCAAGGAGCTACCGTGGGCTCAATTCTGTTGTATTTCGAGGTCAATAAACTGTGGAAATCAGGCGTTGAACGACTGCATGGAATAAATCACCGACGCTCTTAATTTACAATGGTTTAGTTGACTCTTTCTGAGCCGATATAATTCAGAAGCCTTGCAATAATTTTCATCTGGGTTCTACAGACATTGAGGACATCGCGAAGGTAGATTGTAGATCGATGTGTTTGATCCAAATTTGAAGCTGAAAATTTGAATAGATTGAGTTGTCAACAATGTGTATTAACATGCCCAAGCCATGTTTGTCGGAAAATGTTCACCATTCAGGTGATGTCTGTTAGTGATACAATTTATGCAGCATGCTTTTTTAACATGCGCGCTCGCAAATCTTAGCAACGAAAACCTCGACACCAGGCGTTGCAGTCTCCGTAGTCCGCGGAGCGTTAGTCCAGTAGCTAACTTTTAGCCGTGACGCACCGGTGGACGAAAATGATGACGCTTCTGAAATTATTACCTTTAAACACTGTAAACGGCTATTAATAAAAGTTATGTGACGTAATTTTGAGCATGAGCAGTCTAAAATGTTACAAACGCAAGCCCAGACCACAGGCGTTGCAGTCTCCATAGGCTGCGCGGCGTCGGCCTGGCAGCTGATACTAAGCTGTGGCCAACGGGTGGACGAAAATGACGCTTCTGAAAAAGTACTCTTGAACGCTTCATGACATCAGATCTTACATTAAGAAGGCAGTCTGAGTACATCTTTCATGTGTGCAAATTTTTGACTGATGAAAAGAACGGATTGGCCATTAAAGCACCGTGAAGTGGGGCTGGAATCTGGTGGTTGAACTAGCGTGAAGATAGGATCTCTATTTTTCGTGTTTTTGCAAGTATGTATCTATCCAGAAGACAGATAAACACGACGCCCGCCGTCTGGTGGCATCTGCAGTGGCCGAAACTTTCCGGTTTTGCGGAAGCTGCAACCCAGACCATTCTTGTCCTTTCTCTCGAGGTTGCGGGCGGGTATGTTCAAGCCTTTTGATGTGATTTGCTTCACTAGTACATTCTGAGAAAAATGAACGTTTTCAGGCAAACACGGTATGAACTTGCTCGTTTTTTTAAAGCTTGTTTCGACGCATCCTATTCAACACTAATGAGACCCCGCTCTACTCAACAATAATGAGACTCCTTATTTCCTTCCGGGTAAGGGCCTCTTGAGTAGAACATCAGGGGTACATTACCGTTTCCGGTCAAGGGCCGAAGGGTCATTCCGTCCCATCGCAAAGTGTCTTCTGGCTATCATTCTTGCGACTCGGGGCAGGATTTCCTGTTCGATCCGGAGGCCATTGGAAGGATATATATCACATTGTTCCCATCCCTGACACTGGAGGCCTCCTGACCCGCGCAGTTAGCCCCGGATCAGCACAGGAACCCTCATTGACGCAACAACACCCCTGACCGCAGATGGTGCAATAACTATCACATAGACTAGTTCCGTGTTTTTCTGTGTTGTTCAGAGATATTGAGTTTTCCCTGACCGTAGATTGTAGATGGAATGGGGTTCCTAATTTGCATTAGCATGGCTAACCCGTGTTCGTCTTAATATGCTCAAGATACTGTCATAACTGATTACTGATAAGAACACTACGTAATATGGTCTTGAACATGCGTGCTCCGAAGTCATGGCAACAGCATCCCCGACGCCCGGCGTTGTAGTCTCCAGGCCGTGCGGCGTCGACCTTGCGGCCGTAACACTAAGCGGTGTTCAATGAGCAGACAAAAAAGATGACGCATCTTAAGGGCGATGTCTGGTGAACTAGGTAAATCGACATGCATGTTAAATGTAGTGCAGAAGTAAGCCAAATGCAACCTTAATCTGAAAGTTGGAGGGGGGGAGGTTAACATTGCTAGCCCCCCACCTTGAACAGGGGGGGGGGGGGCATGGTCCTCTGGCCCCCCGTTCCTACACCCATGGTCTGAATGGACCAAAAGTAAAATGTACAGAATGGAGCAGAATACACATTATATGGTGTATGGTTCTGTACGCACAAGACGTACACAAAATGTCTTGTAGTCTTTTTTCGGTGAAATTGTATGTGAGGAGAACAATGCATCGCACTTAGGCTTGTTTAATGAACACCTGGGAACACATGCCTACACAGAGCGTACGCTTAAAATCGGGGGAGTAAGTAGTCGAGATACATGTACCAGTGGCACACATTATAACATACTTAAACGTTTAAGTGCGCATTTCAGCAACGGCATAAGACAACGCGGACCAAGGATATAATAATTGATGTGTATCGGTAAACTTTGACAGAGGCGTGAAATGTTTATTGTTAGCGCTGTTGTTCAGGTAAGGTACGTTCAGCAGTAGTCGTCTGCTGATTGCTTTGGACACTGATTTCCTGTAGCGAATTGCTTTCTGATCTGTGATAGAGTCCATCGAAACCTTCCGGCCTAGCCACCGATGTCTCGTGCAAGCCTTATCATAATGTCGTGTGCCTAACATAAGGACATGAAAGCTTGTATGCTTGGTTATTTTAATAATTTTTCTTGTCAGGAACTGCACAGATTTGCACCAGTTGCGATCGTTCGCAGGCCTTTTGAGTTGCGTGTTTTGCGTTAAATTATTCACAGGTGACCACGTTTACTACCTGAACTGTTGAATTATCACAGTATTTTGGAAATACAGACGTAGAATCTTAAAGTAACTAAGTGCCTCCCGGTGTACCGACGTACTTGTGTTTTTGGCATAGATCTCATAATTGTGAGAAAAAATCTTGCGTGCGTGCGTACGTGCGTGCGTGCGTGGGCGTGGGTGTGGGTGTGGGTGTGGGTGTGGGTGTGTGGGTGTGGGTGTGTTACATTAACGGTTGCCACACGTGTAAGCGTTGCTTTTTCTTTTAACGAGTGATGGATTTCAGGGTTTGCCCTCATGCCATGAACAGAGGCAGTGTCACCGACTTCCCTTGTAGTGCGAGCATATCCAAAAAACCGAAGTTGTCCTCAGATTTCGCCCACTTCACAAACTAACTTCCTAGATATATGAAACTAAGCGCAGCCACCTCTCAGCCTGGCGGGATTTCATGACTTGTTAATCAGTGCCTCCTCTTGGACTGGTGGGACTTTTAGTAACAGAAACGCAGCCGTAGCTCAATCAGTTATTGCGTGGTGCCCAGCCCACGTGTGACGGTGTGGGTAGATTTGAGTCCCCCCGTTATTCGCCCCCAGCGCTCCACATTCGCTATTTGCCCCATTTCCTTTAAGGGTCTCATCTTGGGGAGTAGAAGGGTCTTCCGAAGTCTCCTGAGCGTGGGTAATCCGAGTGTGGGTATTCCACGTATAGATCTTCTGGGAATTAAGCCTTCCGAACATAGTTTTTCTAACCCTCACCTTTCCCAGCTCGGGAGACAAGCTCACCTTTGCTGCTTCGTCAGCGGCGGAACTGCTTCGTTGCTTATGAGTTACTGGATCGGGGGAGTGAATGGACAGCCGTAGATAACAACAGTCATGTTTTGACAACTTGGATGCATTTTTATGCGTTTTATGCCGATGTATTATTATGTATTTTAAGGAAAAGTCACCACCAATCTCTCGATGCACCAGGTAATTGTTCTAAATGGTATCACGTGCAGCACCTCGACCACAAATGGCTATTCATTTAACCATATCCTATTATTTGCAATGTAGCGTGCTTCGTAATATGTTACAACTTTTACCTAGATCCCAGTGATGGATGATCAGAAACAGGCTATTTACCCGATAAGAAGCATAGATCATTGATACCCATACTTTCCCTTTCTTGCAAGGTTTACTCCGTTGGACGCCGTAGGCTAACTGTGGTGAAAACGTGACAGCGATCACTTAGAGTAAACAACAGTTGCAACAAGAGGTTCTAGTTGCATATAGCTATGAACAAACAGCGAACACGCCCCCGGTCAGACACAGAACAAGTTCCACGTCGGCTAAGGGCAACGCTGCGGCGCTTTCACCGCAGCTCCGCGCGTGTCCAACGCCCCTCTCCATGGTGCTCGTCTCGTATTCAACGATCACTTACAAATCGAGCGCGGCCTTGCCGACCAACAGCATCCTACACCATCTGTACACCGGCGTGGGAAATGAACCCGTTGCTATGCTACCCACCGACCGCATGCTTGTAGTTTTCGCACTGGCGTCGACTGTATGCACGCGGCCGACGCTGGGCGTAGCAACGCTGCCTACCAATAAGGGCGATTATTCACACTCTGGCGGCCGCTCCAAGAACCATTTTGGTAGCTCTGGTTCTTGGGCATTCTGTACTGGACATTACGTACATTGGACATTGTAATGTGGGCACCTTGGACATTCTGTACATTGAGCATTATGAAACGGGCCCCTTCCACTCTTCGCCTTTTTGGAAGTTATTTCTCGTCTTGGACATTATGTACCTTGGACAATATGAACGCCTCCCACCGGGGATTATGACATCGCGGGGGGGGGGGGGGAGCGACCGGTGTGGAAGACTTCGTGAGGACGTGCGTGCCTGAGGACTGCACGGTGACCGAGGTCGGTATGCGTGGCGTACGCGTAGGTCGCTGGAGGACTCGATCAGCCAACCTCTGTTCGTGGTGATGCGGTGTCTGTGCGACGCGCCCGAGGAGGACCCGACCCGCCAGACGCTGGTCTGCCTGCTGGCAGAGATGAGCTGCCGCGCCTCCCGGCTGCCCTACCTGCTGCTGCACTACATCAACGTCAGGTCAGCCGAGCGCCCCAGTGCCGCCAACCTGACCTCACATCACCTCCCGCTACCCTATCTCAGTGTCTTTCGGGCTCCTGCCACGCATCGCTCGTGTGATCCATGGTCCGTGGTGCTACGAACCCGTCCGCCGGGCACCACGGACCCGTCCTCCAGGCACCACGGACCCGTCCTCCGAGCACCACGGACCTGTCCTCCGGGCATCACGGACCCGGCCCTCGGGCACCGCGGACCTGTCCCTCAGGCACCACGGACCCGTCCTTCGGGCACCACGGACCCGTCCTCCGGGCACCACGGACCCGTCCCTCGGGCACCGCGGACCTGTCCCTCGGGCACCACAGACCTGTTCCTCGGACATCACAGACCCGTCCGTTGAACACAACAGACCTGTTCGCCGGGCACCACGGACCCTTGCGCCGGGCACAAGGGACCCGTCCGCCTCGCTGGCAGCCCACAGCGGACGGATCGGCCTGTGTGTCTCCCTAGATACGAGTCGTATGGGCCGTCGGGCATTAAGGCCTGGACAAGTCACAGCCAACAGGTTCGTACTGTCCTTCTGGTAGTGTTATGGTTGTCCTTGTGTGAGGCCATTTGCGCCACAGATGCAGTTCTTGTGGAACTTACAGGATTGCCAAAGAAGAAAAGGAGACGAAGGCCAAGTGGTTCGGCGTGTACAAGGAGCTGTGCCATGCGAGGGACACCAATCGGGAGCTCTCTGCCTGCGTAGTGGAGGATCTCAAGGTAAGGCCAGGCCTGTACCTGAGGCTCCCCCGCAAAAGCCGTCTCAGCTCCCGTTAATGTCAGCTCCGTGACGTGCTGACATTACGGCTGTGGTGTATCGTATGGGTGCCACTCGCGCAGCACACAGTGCTGGTGCAACGTCTTCTGGTCCTCCTATGACGATTACTGGTCACTTAGCGATCTGGTGTATTTCATCAGTTGTCTAACGATTCGATACATTTCACTGTAAAGGGGAGTATCGATGCGTCAGCGCGATGGAAATCGGTCATGCCCAGTGATGCTCAGGATGGATCATGGATGTCAAAGAATAATTCAACATGAGTTCAACAAGGATCGTGGTCTCAGAATATTTATCGGTAGAGCTTATGGAAATATACTGCATCCAATAAGGCAACCTAGCAAAGTTAGATGAAAAATCCTGGGTTACAATACACCCCTCGCCAAATCTTATGAAAGATCTTAAATCGCAAAATGTCCGTATGGAAATGCGCAGTAAGGTCCTGTGTTGTGGGGACTCCTTCAGCAGAACTGAACCCCGTCTCGTAGGATGTATATTGTGATAATGAATCCCGTCTCGCAGGACATATATTATCCTACGAGACGGGACTCATTTTTATGTCATGATGTCAAAATTGCAAGGTATTTAACTAACTGGCTTGGTGTGAGCTCCAACTGGTTTTGAAGCCTGTGCAAGTCAGGCGGCAGTCAGTCAAGTATAGCATGAATTGAAGCTTAGAAGCTTGCTCCTGAGTCAAATTAAATAACGGCGTTAGGTTAAAGGCAATGTTCCACATTTTATGGGGTTTTGCACTGAAATGGCCATCTTAAGGAGCTTTGGATGCATTTCACGGTCATGTCCTTTTATGACCTAATACGCTCTGGTTCCTGGGTTACACGTCCGCAAAAGTGTGGAAAGGTTTATTGGGAGCCTACTTCAGTCACCTTGGCATTAATGACGTCATAGAAACGTCATGCGATCGCCGTAATACTCCAGGCTGTTTTCTGCTTATGGTCAATGCGAGACGGCCACTGACACATTCGCAAAAGCGGCGATGCGGCACGCGTGGTACAATGCGTGGAAGATGATGGGCTGTTAGCAAGATTTCGCTGCTGAATGCGTGTCGCGAATGTAAACGAGAGCTTTTTCGGGTTGGGCGGCACTCCTGAACGGGACATTTTCTCTACTTCTAGGCCACAGGTCAATGTTGCGAAAAGAGAACGTCAAAGTTCGCAAAAAGTGCGGCGCCCGAAAGAGGCACTCTCCCAACTGTCATGAAAAAAGAAGGCGCGGCGACAAATATGTTTTTCCCCTGCTGGCATTTTTTCTTCTGCTGACGTATTTCTTATAGATAGCCCGGTTTGCGCCATGTGTATCGGAGTGAAGAACCTTGTACGGGTGTATGGGTTAACGAGGCATTACAAAATTAGGGAAACTTTGCAGTAATTTTAGATACATATTTTACGCAACATTTCACACATATTGTACGGTAAATTTAAATATTGAACACAAAATTGTGTCGTCCAAGTACGACCTCTTGAGCTGCATTACTACGAACCCTCGTTGAGACTTTGCTTTACGGAGAGGGCACGGTGAAATGCGGTGTTAGAACCGAAAATCTGTATGGAATTTGTGAGAAAACGTGCTATTTGATAATCACGCGAGCTGTGCAAGTGTGAGATCACACTTATTAGACAAGAGTGCGAATCATTGGCTTGAAATTGGTGTGATAACTGGCGGCGCGTGCCTGTGGGTTGTATTGATCTTGATGTGATTGGGAGTGTGTGTGTCAGGTTTGTGTTCTTGAGAGAGAACATTGTTTTGGTATTCTTTAAGTCTACTGACTCCCAGTAAAATGTGATGCATCAATACCTGCCACTCTCGTTATGTTTGTACTTGAACATGACAGGGTAGTGCCAGCATCCTCAAAGACACTAGCACCTATTTTGCCGTGGTGTACAAAAGTAATTTGCTACTTCATTATGGTCTTGCCAACATTTCGAACCTATTGAGGCATTACAACACATAATTAATCCATTGCATGCCATTATATGACCAATTCATTTTGGCAGCAGGGGCTGGAGTGTGCAGCTCATTAATGCACACGCTTGGTATAAGCTCACATGATACTACTTTGCAAAATTGTCTTTCCCTACAGTATCCAGAAATAATAGTGCTGTATTACTATTGATGCACATACCGTTGTCTTAACAGTTCTTGGATGAAGGCAAGCATTGCTTGTGAATCATCAATGTCACAATGTCACAATCAATGTCATCAATGCTGCAGCTTGAGTGAGATGCTGGGTGCAGAGAGAGGTGGAAAAGTATTGCTGTTGGTGTCTTACAGTACCTCATGTTTTTATCATGAGCCTGGTGTGCATTGGCAGCTTCATCACTTCTTTGCATTTTGCCCATCTGGCCATAACTAAATGTACTTATTATGTCTCCAGCATTGTGCAAGGTCAGCATGTTTGCAGTGTCTCTTCACTACATGCAAGCGGCCTGATGTCCGCAGCATATTGCATGGCTGTGAAAGTGGAATACATGTTTGCATCTATGTCACCTATGTTTTGCGGATTCCCCAAAACAGGCTGAGCAAGTGATGTCGGTTGTTGGTTGTGTGCTTTGCTTGAAGTGATTTGTATATTGTATCATGTATTTTTGGTCAGCCATATGTCAGATACAGAGCAAATACAAGAATGCATGCTTGACCCATCTGTTCATGATGGGATTTATTATGAAAGTAGTACAGATTGCAGTACAAAAACCATATCATTCTTCATTATGCCATGCCACAGTACAGCTCTGAGGTAGTACAACAGTGACACTATTGACCTGTGTCATTACACATTGCACCACATTGGTTGACTGCTTTATGTCAAGCCTATGAGGTAACAGCTTAAATTTGTGAATGACTGGTGAGAACTAGTCAAACAACACTAAAGGACTAGTGCCAGCAAGAACGTTGTTGCACCAGAATGGTTATATCATGGTTAACTGGTAATTGCATGATTAATCCTAAGCAAAATAAAAAAACATTCTTGGTAGCTCAACCGTGCCACCTTCGAATAGAAATAACAATACTTTGGCAGTCAATTCATAGCAATGTTACAAATTCGTTAAGTTCTACATGCAGCTGTATTTTCAGTCACAATAAAGAAAGTAACCACTGTGCACATCACATGATATCAACGTGAGGACTACAGCACAGCAGGCAAGGATAAGTCAATGATACGGTATATACATCCTTAACAGTCAAGATTTCGGTAAGAGATGCATGACGCTATATGGCAGCCTTCACAGTATATTGGGTTATTACATTAATAATCTGTCATAAACTCTGGCGATCGGCACTCTGCGTAGATCAGACAGCCCACCAAAGCTTCTGTTACCACCAGTACCAAGGCAAAAATCCACGACCAGGCTATTCGTTAACCCGCTATCCGAAACAGTCCCCGCGACGAGAATGGCCGGCTGGTGTCAGCTTTCGTGCGTTTCGAAGTATTCTTTAGGTCTGGCTGTCAGATGCTGCCAGGTATTGCTGTCGTCACAAAACCATTCCATGACGGCATCAAATAAGACGTCCTGCGGTGCATTTTAAAAAGTTCGAAATTTTGCTACTTCGGGTGCTTGCTGCTTTTGAACCTCGAAGGCCTACCAATAGTTACAAGTAAGCCTTTCCCATCATATCTGAAGTTTATCTCAGAATCTGCACATGTGGAACATTCCTTTTAACTGGATTTAACGAAGATAAATCTCAAAACGGTGAGCTGGGTGTTCTGAAATAAAGGTGTGAGACATGTGAACTACAGCAGTACATGCTGAACCTATGGCGGTCTTTGTAAATGAGTCCTGGATCGCTGGAGATCGTTGAATGATTTTACAAAACTAGGTTATGGTGGATCCCGGCAATAACTTGAGTGAGATCTTGGGGCCTAAAAGGTCCTTCGACACAGCATCCAGGCACATCTCGGGATTGCAAGTGGTGTGGCGTGCACGTTTGGTGGGAACCGGGACTACCAAAAGGTTCCCGTGACGGGGATCGAACCCAGACTTCCATTACGAGCGTGCCCTGTGACAACCTGGCCACTACCTTGTTCCAGACGTGTCAGGAAGAGGAGCAAAGCCTATTCATCTGGCTGGTGCCCAGCCTCTTCACCCACCTGAGCACGGCATGCGTCGGCAACGTGGAGCTGATGAACATGATCGTCAGCTCGCTGGACTCAAGCCAGCTGCTGCAGCTGCTCAGCCACATCGTACAGGCCGATCTAGTCATGTTCAGAAAGGACTCCTTCATGAAAGTGCTCAGTAAGTGCCGCGGAGACGGCGACGTACAGTCACAGTAGCTCAGAATCGGGTTGGTCTACGTACGGCTTGATCAATGGAGGGTATCAGGCCACGCTCCAGTGGATGTCCGCCTCCTCGTTCTGGTTCGGATACCTAGAAATGGGGCCGCCTGTGCCAACGGAGAATCATCAAAATGTCCAGGTTCGTAGCGTCCATTGTTCATATCGTCCGGGATCGCAGCATCCAGTGTTCGTATGGCCCGGGATCGCAGTATCCAGCGTTCATAACGTCCAGAATGCGTCCAATTTCGTGCTCATTGAGGGCGTTCATAAGGTCCAGGGACGCAACGTCCAGAGTCGCAAAGTCCAGAGTTGCAAAGTCCAGTGTTCAAAACGTCCAGTATCCATGGCGACCAGTCTAGTTTGGATTCATGCCGCTAGATAACACTACAGAAGCAGCTTTGAACCCTGCCGCTATTTTCCTCTTTTGTCAACAGATGGTAGTCACCCTGGCATTCCACTGATGATTACGTGATGCGTACAGTTAAGCATGGTTACTATAAATGACCCAGACGCCTGGCGGCCGTGTCCGGCCTGGGCGCGGCCGCGCCCCGGGGTTCACCGGCGGACTGGGCGCAGACACTCCGGGCGGCAGCGCGGCCGGAGACATGGCGGGCGGCGCGGGCTGAGCAGTGACCGCTGCTCCCGCGGGGTGAGCGGACTCTCCCGCCCCGCCGGTGCTGCCGGGGCCCCAAATGCCGGGGTACACTCGATTGCTCGGGGGCCCTTTATATTGGTATCGGGTTCTTCATATCGGGTTCTTTCCACTTGCTTGGAGGACCCCGTGGTGTTGCTGGGCCCCCATATAAGGTAACGCTCCGAGGCACCCGATGCTCAGGGGCCCTCTTCGTTGACCTATGGCTATTTCCCTTTTTGGGCTTATTTGCTGAAGACCCTTCACTCGTCAGAGCTCTCACGGTTAACCTGCCCGGGCACTCTTGATCACATAGGGACGTTAATTCATGTACACCGAACTTCGGTTATTGGCCCTTGTTCAGGGGATCCTGTACTCCAGCCGGACTCTATATGTTAGCCTGCCGGGGTGCTCCCGGTCATTCAGGGGTCCCACCATATTGGTGTTAGGTTCTTGTCGGTTGTTATGAGCCCCTTTACTGTTCACTGGAGCCTTTTGTTGGCCTTCCACGACAGTTTCGATTGTTCAGGTGCCGTTCTTACCGGGCTCGGGTTTTTCCATATTATAGGAGGGCCTACACTGTTGACGCGGACCTAGATCTTAATAATTTGTATTTGGGCTTTATTTCTTACCGACCAATGACTGAATTTGCGGCTATCCCGATTACGCCGATGAATTCGTTCTTGCCATTGTGGAACGTAATTTTACACGCCGCCAATATCGTGCACCTTATTTCCGTTCTTTATTGAATTTGGGGCGATCGTTAAGCTTGTACTTCACGTTTTAATAGATTTTGAAGGATAGGATATTCTGTATTCTCTTGCAACAGACATAACAAAAGCTCTGCATTAGTCCTTAGAAATCAGCTGATCTCATCAGTGTCCTAGAATTGCCGACTTTGGGTGTAAAGCAGCACCCTATGAGGAGGAATTTTTTACTCCTTCTCCCCATATTGTATGTGAATTTTTCACTCCTGGGACACGTATGGCTATGTCCTGCCTCACCTACATCTGAATCATGTCTATGTATGCACAGAGCAAGAGCGTCAGGTACCTCCAAGCCCAAGTACCCCAGCGACCCCAGCCGCTTGCACGCATTAAGTTTGGCTTGTTTACAAAATGCATCACAATCTGCAGCTGTGCGCCAAATGCAATGTTTTCACGCATCCCCTATTTTTTTTGGTCTCACCGCCACACCACGGAAGCAGAGCCTGGTGCAAACACCAGCAAGGCCTGGTAGAGAATTTTACTCCACGTACCTCTTTTTTCCTGAGGAAACTTGACCACTAAATGCATCACTTCCAAAATGCATGAGTGAAAAGTTCAAGAAATGTCTTTTAAATCATGCTTGCAAGATGAATATCACCATTTGAACACTTCTATTAACAGATTTTAAGTCAAATCGGCTGATTGATTGACACCAATTTTACGGAAAAAGTACCAATCTTTATTTTTATTTAGCTACTTTTGTTTTTCTTGATATCATACCAGTGTGATACCACTTTATTCTCCCTTCCTTTTCGATTGCCTTTAGAGGTACCATCTGCTGCTTAAAATTTTGACCGATTTGTCTGCTGGTGTCCTGTCCTGTTGTGTTGTTGGTGTCCTGTAAAAACTGTGGCCTGCTGTTAAGAAAACCCGAAAAATGGGGTAGGATCATCGGCAGGGAATTTTGAATTCACTTCTGCTATTGTTTAGGTAAAGGCATGTTGCCGAAATATCAACCAACTTTATCCCCATTCTCTTGGTTCTTCTCCGAGGAATAAGGCTGCTGTTGTCTTATCTCTGTGAATAATGTTCCGCGCTAGTCCACTGAACAGCTAACGTAATTTATATCGTGCTTGTTCCTACATACATAAGTTTTTGTAATACCGGTTATGCGCAAATAATACCGGCCACGCGGACCCGGGCCGCAAGGCCGGGACTCCTAATGCGATCTCCACCGAGCCCCTCGGTCCCTTCGGAGCTACCAACCGGGTCTTTGATCGTCTGTCCCCAGAGCCCTTGGGCGGGAGGGGACGGGGCACGGGCCCCTGTACATCTCCTGTGTGCGCTACTGGAGGTAACTGAGCGGTGAATGCGACCCCTGATCAATCATGGTATCCTAGTAGTTTTCCAGTTTCGTTAGTGTCCATAGTTTAAAGGGCAACAGAGGTCTAAGCAGTTGTAATGGCCCTTGAATACCGCTGTACCCCTGGCGACCAGGAAGTCCCGGTTGAGCGGCCAAAGGGTTTCACGAATTTACCAGGGGGGGCTCCTGGACTGCTAGACGCTTCTACGGTATTGTCGCAAGTTTTATTTATAAATACTTTTTGCTCTTCTCATTTAGTATGGTCATTTTTGGACTTAGCGTTTCGAAAAGAGCTCCCCAGGGGTTCCTGGACCCCTGGCCCTTCACCTTCCCCCCCCCCCCCCTTCTACAGCCAGACCCCAATAGAGTTTTCAGCCAAGACTTGAGACCCCATGCATTTCCCGATTGGGACTGAGGGACCTTTCCGTCCTCTTTGAGATTTCCAATCGTATACTATTAATACACATGATACATCGGTTCCCTCTCTGACGCCGAAAGCCCCCTGGCCGGGGTGGTTGACCCTGGATCAACGCCGGGCCACTCACCGACCCAAAAAGGTCCCAAGCGTAGCGGGTTTAATAAAAAGCACAAGATTCCAGTTCGACGCATTCGGGCGATAGAGAAAACGGGCAGAGGGACCCTGTCTGGTGCTGGTTTCTGACTGACACGAGGCTCTTTCATTCAGCCGCCCGTCGAGCAGGGGGGGGGGGGGGGGCTCCGGTCTAGCACGAGCGAGATCCCGGGATGTCCGGTCCGTCGGGATGTGTACCGCGGCAAACCGAGTGAAACCGAGTCAGGGGTCTCGGGCTCTGACGCGAAGATGGCGGCGTGTCCGACTGAGCAGGCAGGGTTTCGACCGCGGACGGGCTGCCGTACGGACAGGTCTCGCGCGCGCATGGCGAGGTTCCGTTCTCGGGCGGGGGCCGGCGCGCGCGTGAATGCGTTCTTCATTTGGCGGCCGGGCTGCCTCGTCCGCCGGCCCGCCGCGGGCGTGGCTGCCAACCGGACCGTCGAGCTGGGCAGCGTCTGGGCTGGCCTGTGTGTCCGAGCTCCTCGTCCAACCGATTGCACATTATTATTTCCTTATATGCCGTGATTGAGCGGAAGCATTGTCTGCAAATTTGGCGGACGGCGGTTTGTCGGAAGGGACTGTAGTACCAATTGGGACTTTACGTCTCACCGGCTGATATGGTTATTTCGAGGCGGAACGCCTCTATTACGTATTTACCAGGCATTAGGCACGTGGAATGCGGTAGTGGTGTGGCCAGGACTCCATCTCCGGATAGAAAAGTCCAGAGATGAGCACCCTAACCGCTAACCACCATGCTACCGTCGCCGCTCTGCAGCGCGAGCTGCACCGTCTCGATAAACTCCAGACTGGTGTTGCTGAACTCCGAATTGCATACTTAAGAGGTTCTGAAGCGTAAAAGGAAGAAAGTGTGCCAGGATTGATGAAGTCGATGGCGAATACAAGCTCACGATTCTCCCAATGCATTCGGCCTATATATCGCAAACCGGCTCCGTGACACACACTCGGCTCCGCTGTTAAGGTGGTGAATGAACAGTGCCTTTAAGTGCAGCACGTGCGTGGCGTTTGGCGTGACGTTTAGCAGGCAGTTGAATACGTTTGCAGTCAACGTTTGCTTTTTTACTTCCTATTTACTTGCAACCAGGACTGCGGTTCCCCATTCAGTTGCAGGGGTTTCATCCCCTGCCGTTACTTGGGTTGCAACCTGCAGATTTGTGAAAAAAGTGAGCCAGATTAGGAGAGAAGCCAATTCGTTGGCATATTGTCACGGTACTTTTCGTTGTGTTTTCATCGCTCAGCCAACCAGCGTATTTTGGTAAAATACGCCCCTTTAGAACATATATAATTAAAGAAACGAATTGTTTGTAGGCTGGACCATTGAACGTGTCTCACCAGGGAGTAGTATCCGGATTCAGATGATGAGACAGCCCCCACCCTCTCTCTTTGAGAGCAAAGATATGTAGAATTCAGAATAAGTCCCCTTTGCAGGAGCGTGTTAAATGATTTGTATGTGGTGGAGGGAGGAGAATCAGCCAATTAAAATCGCTAACAATATAGTTAAGCGTGCCAGGAGCTGGAGATCTATATGCACGCCTACCTGGAGCTGACATGAAATCAGTCAGCCTTACACATCAGTCATCAGATGTTCCTCCAAAAATTAGAAACATCACCAACACACACACAGTAAATAACGGAACCAAATACCGTGGATAATTTTTTCCATTGCCCACAATACCAAACAGTAGGCACCCCGACAAGTGCTTTCCACGTTACCGTACAGCTTCTGCCGAGTAACCAGCTATTTCCGATGCTTCGAACCAGGGATCAAAGTTTTTAATTATTTAGTCCGCCTGTTGCCAAGGGCGTGCCGACGCGGTCAAGTTTTTGCGCTGAAACAGTACCGCATGACGTCACTCGTCGGCTGAGGCGGGCGAAATCGGCTGCGGTGGCCCTCTATCGGCAATATCTGAACCATTACGTGAAGGGTTGCGAGGAAGTGGGACGGAATCCCAAACCCGTAGATTTCGCCAGGGAGCTAGAATCGCTTTTGAACTAGGGAGTGTGAGAACTAGTGGGAGTGAAAAATTCCATCGCAAAAAGGCCGTGCGGGAGTGAAAAAATCAGTTCACAAAAGATGGAACTCATGAGCTCGTGACTGATGCTTCAGCAAACAAAGACGTCTATTTCAAGTTGGCATGGACGTAGCATCAGAAACCTGACAAAACTATTTCGTTTTTTTAAATCTTCGGCCATTAAAGTGAAACAAAACACATAAACACGCAATCGGGTGGGGGGGGGGGGCAAATTGACCCGCCGAGGGCTTTTCCCGAATGGTTTCTGAATGGCGCGGCGTAGCCGCGCCAAATTTTGCATAGCTGTAGAAAATTGCATAGCGGATCGTTTGACACGCAAATTTTAGATGTACCGTGTTATCTCGCTGACCTGTGACAGGTCAAAGTCGGCCCATGGTTTTAGTGAAGGCAATTTCTAGGGAATCGTTCAATCTGATACAACAACGGAGTGTGACGAAGGCGTACATCTCTGAGATGCTTTCTTAGGCAGCACTAATATTAAATGAGCAATTTGCGTTGACCTGAGGTCAGGTATGATGGTCAGACCAAGGTCAAAACCAACCTGATTTATTACTCTAGGGCTTGCTGTATTGGATAGTTTCTAGTGCTCATTTCGAAGTTACTGACAGCAGGAACCGCATTATGCACCTCCAATTGACTTCTTAGGGGTCAGAACAGGCCATTGACCTAAGATGCCCCGGGTCGAAGGTTTTGTTTTAGGAACATACTGCCTAGCGTAATCTTTGTCGCCTATTCAAATGCAAAACGCAGAGCAGTCTTGTATCATTTCGGTCACCATGACCTTCAAAGGGTTTAACAAGGTCAATGACCTCAAGTGGGCTTGGGACGCTGGGGGCGCTTTGGGGACCAACCTGGAATTTGACCTTGTTTGACCTTATTCGACCCGAAGGTCACGACCTGGGAAGCTGAAACCTTAACCTTAGTGAGTTCACGTATAGGTCAAGACACCCTGTAAATTTGGTGTCTCTAGCTTTGTTAGTTCCCGAGATCTCAGAGGGAGGGGTCAAATTGACCCCACCCCCACCCCCACCCCACTTCCCCACCCGAGCGAAGGGTATCTAGCGGGCCAACCGGGCGCTTGCTAAAGCATAGTTATTTCATGACGGTGTTATGAGCATAACAAATGATTAACACCAATAATTTGATGCTGCACTTTTCAATTCCCGTCCACAGCACGTTTAAAACAAAACAAAGCAAAGGAATTCAATAACACAATAACAGAAAGTTCAACAAGCATAAAACACTCAAACAAAAAAACCTTGGACTCCTACACATCAGCCCACCACCAAGTCAAACACAGTAGACATACTTCTAGCTTCTGTTAAGATGGGGTCAGGGAAAGCAAGCATTTTGTCACTGTTTCTTACAAAATACCAATGCTTATATCCATGAAAGTAGCCTATGCCCAACCTAAAAAGGCCTTACATCATCTCATCCTGTATAACCTGTTTGTATCACAGCAGCAGTTAGAGTTACTGATCACAGACAGAGTTACTGATCTTGCACGATTCCTATTGCGACTTGCCATGCACTTGACCCTCTTAACCTGATTTAGAGTAGCCCATATGACAAACATCATCTCAACTCGCCTATCTGTTGACAGCAGCACTCGTGATAAAAACATGATATTTAAAGCTAGTTTTTGGCTGGTTTCAACTTGCATTTTTATTCAGCTCATTTGTGTATGCTTGTTGACATCAGACAAAGTTGACAACACACAAATCAAAACACTTAAAATCACTTTGAGCAACTTATTTTCAATGTCGTGGTCAACCTATGTCAAGGACAATAATGGGTATGCTCCACAAAACGATCTCTCTTCTCCACAAACAACACAACTTTTAGATAACCATGCCAGTATTGCTGCTTGCCTTTTCATCTGCAGCAAATACATCTATTTGGGCTGGTTTATTCATATTTAATGACAAAGTTTGAGATGTTGGCTCCACATTTTAAATGGGGTGGCCTGACTATTTGTTACATACCAATATTTAACTCATATTATAATTGCTATGCAGCATGGAGTATCCATGTGTTAAAAATATGGTGCATATATACGGTACAGTCATTTGCCAGTCAGCAAACCATGACAACTACAGAAAAGATCTGGTTAAAGCAGCCATGAGGGGCCACTTTAATAAATTTGAGGCACATAACCAATAATATGGAACAAAATAAGCCCATTGCATGCATTGTGACATAATTTGTCTGATGGCAAAACTCGATGCATTAAAACAGAAAATGGCTAACTCTGGTTACCAATCATGTGTTGAAAGCACGTAAGGTAAACAATTACTTGGTCCATAGAAGACTTTCACCCCCCAAACATAATTATCAATCATGCCCACCAACCTTCGAAATTAAAATGCGAAACAAGAAATAGGTGAGCATGATAAACATCTCCGGAGGGCAGAATTTCGCCACCAAACACTTCTGTATTAGCTGCGTCAGATCTGTCCCAAGGCTCCATATCGCAGCATTCGAATAGCATTGCCAGGTAGCCTGGTGAGTCAGACACTCGAAAGGCTTGGATTCATCATTATTGAGCACCGCCATGAACCTAGAAAACGGTTAACCAAAGATTTAAGAGGGCACAAATGGCGGTAACCGTAAGTTCCATGCTTCAAACTGTGTCCTTCATTCCATGTGAATTGTTCACGCTTGGGTGCATATGAAACATGTTTGGGCGGCTGGCAAATTAATCCAATTTATGTATGAAATACGTACAAGTTTGCAGTTGGAGCATCTTCCAGAGAAATTGGTCAAAATTTTAAGCAGCAGATGGTACCTCTAAAGACAATCGAAAAGGTAGGAAGAATAGAGTGGTATCACACTGGTATGACACCAAGAAAAACCAAAGCAACTAAATAAATATGAAGACTGGTACTTTTCTCACAAAATTTTGTAATCAGCTGATTTGTCGTAAAATCTGTTGATATGAGCGCTCGAATGGTGGTATTCGTCTTGTAAGTTCAATTTAGAAGACATTTCTTAAACTTTTCACTCGTACATTTCGAGGATGATGCAATGAAGTGTCCACGTTTACTCGGGAAAAAATAAATACGCGGAGTAAAATTCTCTACCAGGCCTTGCTGGTGTTTTCACCGGGCTCTGCTTTCGTGGTGTGGTGGTGAGACCAAAAATGGGGATGCGTGAAATCTTGCGTTTGGCGTACAGTTGCAGATTGTGATGCATTTTGTAAACAAACCAAACTTAATGCGTGCAAGCGGCTGGGGTCGCTGGGGTTCTTGGGCGTGGAGGTACCTGGCGCCTTTGCTCTGTGCATACATAGACATGATTCAGATGTAGGTGAGGCAGGACATAGCCATAGATGTCCAGGTTCTGCGGAGCCTCTTTGATGCTTTGTGGTTTCAAGTGGGCTCGGTTTTGGATGACATCTGAAAGCCTCAGAATGGGAAATAGGAGTTTGGCACGTGCGCTTAGACGATGTCAGGCAGGAGTGAAAAATTCACATAAAAGATGGGGAAAAGGAGTGAAAAATTCCTCCTCATAGGGTGTTGCTTTACACCCAAAGCCGGCAATTCTGGGGCACTGGATTTCACGCATGCTGGACTTAATGAACACGGGACGCTGCGAGCCTGGACTTTATGATTCTCCTCGGTCCAGGGATTTTGGACGATTTCTAGATGCCGTGAACGCCGGGTGCTGCGATTCTGGACTTTTGACCGCTGGACTTTATGAGCTCTGAACGTTTCAAAAGGACCCTAGAAATCGACGCGCCCTAAAACCCCAATAATCATCAACGTTTCAATGCGCATGCGCGCCAACGTGTCGCTGCGTTCTTCAAGTGCGGTTCGGCTCCACGCATGCGCAGCTGGAGTTTGAGGCCCAGACTCAGGGTGTGCGAGCCAGTACGGCCTCTGGCACCGGACCGCGCACTAACGGCGCCGCTCTGTTGCAGACGCCAGCTTGGAGTGGGAGACGTTCGAGCAGTACTGCCTCTGGCAGCTGGTGGAGGCACATGAGCTAACTATTGACTACATCCTGCCCCTGCTGACGCGCATCCAGAGTCGGGAGCACGCTGAGGCTGTTAGCTGCGTTATGCTGATGCTCAAGCGGGAGGAGTGAGTGCCTGTCCCGGCTTTGCGGTCAGCGGCTCTGCTGGGATTTCCGTTTCGGTCTTGACATTACCTTAGCTGTCGGCGCACCCTAAACCACCCGTTACCAAAAGGTCCGGCCCGGCTCCAGATTGGCCTTCCCCGCAGGACCGTTCATGCGACGCTGATTATGCACGGTATGTGGGTGGTGCTGGCACTGGACGTGTCCTCTGGTACACACGAAATATACAGATTTCAGTACGAATTAAACAGCACCACACGATTCCCTAGGATAACGGCCTGGCGCAGGATGGAGTGGCGGTGAACAGAGGTCCTAGCTAAGTTGTTAATGTAAATCTTCGATGTAGGCGTTCACTGAGTGGCACTGTGGTGGGTGGCTGAGTGACGGGTGGTGCGCCGCGGCTGACGGCCTCCTCTGCCTGCTGGCAGGCCGTGTATGGAGCTAGTGAAGCCGCTGCTGCAGCGAACGGCCGAGCAGCCACACGACGTGTTCGTCGCCTCGGTGCTTAAGTACTGGTCGACTGAGTACGAGGAGCAGACGGCGCAGCTGATTGCCAACCTCATCAACCGCACCAGCTTGACGCCGAGCAAGCGACGCCGCAACTCGCCGCGCGCCAACCTGCCCACCACGGAGCAGATCCTGGGCCACCTGGACCAGATGCGCACCGCCCTGCGCACCGCCTCGTTCTGGAGCATCGACGAGGTGCAGACGGCGCTCAGTGTGGCACAGAGCGGCTCCAACGAGGCGCAGCGCAAGCGCTTTGCCGACTTGTTCGCGCTGATCGAGGTGGAGGAGGAGGCGCGGACGCGGCGAGGCCGGAAGGCGGCGGCGCGTGGCCGCGCCACCACCAAGAGCATACAGAAGACGGAGACGGACTCGGACGACACGACCGAGGTCAGGGCCGGCGTGCGCGCGGCCGAGTGCTGCGGCGGCGGCGGCGGCGGGCCGGTGGTCCGCGGACCGCTTGCTAGCCCGGCGCCGCATCGCGGTGCCATGGCCGTTTGGAGGCGCCGCCGCGGTGTTGTCCTTGCAGTTGTGGTCGCTCTTGAAGCAATACTGTGGTCGGGATCAGTTGGTGTGTCCCGCAGGGCGCGTCGCCGCCGCGCGGCTCGTTCACGCGCCCGACGTGCGTCGTCACCCGTGAGGGCCGGTGCCTGGCGTTGGTGCTGTCCGTCCGACGGACGCGGCCGCGGCGCGGCCAGCTCGTGGCGGAGGCAGCATGCACCTGGCGGTCGCTTCTCGTTCGTGCCGCGTTCGGGTCTGGTTTTCAATGGGCGTTGTCGATTGAGGTATCCAACGATGCGTGGCTATTCACGCGGTGCTAAACGGTCGGCCGTGTCTGCATCATAATCGCGCTGTTTTGTGCTCCGCGTCCTGTTCGCAGCATTCGTGTATCGTGCACATTGCATTCGACCGCATTTGTTCGCGTTTGTGAATGGCACCACAATCCCAATCTTGTGTTCTATTTTCGTTCAGGATGGAAACAGTAGGGCAGGCAATTTGGGTCACGTCTGTTTCGCGCCGCGTACTGCCCGCACAGCGTGCCGGGTATGTGACCATGCCCGACTCCAATTGACTGCGTGCTGTTCTGTTTTAGGACGAGGAGGTGATCAAGAAGCCGGCCAAGAGGAGACGGAGGAACAATCAACTGAACTCCGACAGCGATTGAGGGCCACAAGTGTTTTACGCGGCGGCGCACTGCCGACGCACCTTTTGCGGGAAGTGTTTTTTTTTAATATACACATTTGATGTAGCCGCGATTGTTTGGAACGTTTTCTTCCGCTGCGGAAGCTGGTTGGACCTGGCGTCAGTTTGCTTCGCTGAAACCGCTGGTGAAGACTTGGAGCATCGCCTAGCTCAGTGACGGATGGAAACATGGGGTGACATTACGCACCTTCCAAGCAAGGAGTACACAAGGAACACGAAGTGGGCCCGCCGCCCGACCTGCAGCGGACGGCGACGTGCGGGCTGTGCTTTGTCGATTTGCACAGACTCGCGCTGCCGTTCGGTTATCAGCCTCTCTAAGCTAATGCAAGCAGCTGAGGATTCCTCTTACGACAGCCGGGCGATTGCCGCCACTAGCTCACGCGGGTGCATCCAGAATACAGAACAGGCCGCGAGACAAACATAGCGCCACCAACGCTCGCTTCATGACATCTTATGAGCAAGAAATTACTCTCATCTGGCACGGCAGGAGGCCCAGGATGTCCAGGGAGCGGAAACACGGACCCGCGCCTCTGGTTGTTACGAAGCCTTCAGCAACGTTTTTCCACGCCGCACTTGGACACCGCATACGCCTGGACCGCGTTCCCCATTGTCAAACACCGTCCGCAAGTTACAACCTATGGTTATAAGGAAGTACGTCAAACATCCAACGTGCGTATGACGCAGGCACTTCCGACATCATAGGTTGCAAATCATGCAGGCGCTTTGCCTATGGTGAAAGCGGGCCTGGTTGAGTTTGGTCTGTGCAGTCGTCCTCGGTACAGAATGGAGCAGGGCATTAACACCCCCATTTAAAAGCACGGTCGCGTGCCTACCTATGGCTAGCCCAATATCAGGTGTGGCAGTGTGCATTCATTTGCAAACCCCCGCCGAGTTTTGCAACCGGTTATTACCCAAAGCCTGATACATCCAAGGGGAGCATAGTGAAATGAACAGATAACAACGTTCGCCTACTGCATCACGTCCGCTGCAGCTGGTGTCTGTCACGTCAGTCAGGTGCAGCTGCACAGTCTGCATCCTGCTCTGGGAAACTCGATGGCGAAACTTATCACGAGATCAATGTACGCGTGGGCTAGCTGATTTGGAAGGTCAACATGCAGATCAACCGGTTCTCGAGTCGTGAAAGGTGTGCGCACTGCGCACATCCAGCTGCATGGCATACGGCCATCCGTTACACAGCGGGAATTCCGCACACTGCTTCAGCGCTTACCACCGTCCCGCCCGCCTTTCGCGCGCTCCGAGCCTCGCTGCCCCGTGCGTAACAGTACACATCACCAATCGTTTGCTGACTTCATATTTTAAAGCGTTCTTTAAAAACTCATCACCTTGCTCTCAATTCTACGGCAGTGCTTTGTCACAACATATATCCGACGACCCGTCCACAGTCAAGTCCTTGTCTATAATGCTCTTAACTAACACCCACCCACCGCCCGCCGCGTCACTTGTTGTGCGAGCGCCGCACGCTGGGGGGCACATAATCCTCCTCCGTCTGCCGCTTCTTCCTCAGCAGCTTCTGCACGATCGGCGGCTTGGGCAGCTGCGGCCGGTTCCACTGACGCTCCACCTCCGCCAGCAGCGGCTCTTCGTTGTCGAAGAACCAGAGCAGCCGCTCGCGCTCCCGTAAGTACTGTCGCTTCTCTTCGAGCGCCTGGACGCGCCGCTCGCGGTCGGCCGCCTGCCGTTGCAGCTCGAGCTCGTGCTGGCGGCGTTGCTGCCACTCGGCGTACAGTTGGCGCAGACGCACCACATCCGCCACCTCATGCTCCGCCACGGCGCGCTCGACCGCCAGCCGCAGCGCGTCACCGAGCGGCGCCGGTACGGTCGGCAACGAGGCCACGCGCGCCGAGAGAGCAGCCGCGTCCGGACACTGCTCGCCGGCCGCCGAGAGGAGCCCGGTGACGCGGCCTATCTGCGGACGCACAGGGCGGGGCGTGACGGCGACGGCGGGCTCGCACAGTGGACAACCACAGCAGCGCCCACGATCACACCAGACGGCCGCACTCAGGTGATAGCTGACGGTCAAAGGCGGACATCGCAGTAGATTTGAACAGCGCAGGCACAGAGAACACAACAAAGCGGGTTCAGTGCACATCGCAGCGTGGGGAAACAGTCAAGGTAGGCGCCACAGCCACAGTCGACAAGACTGAGACACATCGGCGACACCGCAGGTGGTTGTGAGGCTAGTGATGTAGCGGTTGCCAGCTAAAACGGCTACGGATGACTGACAGTCACGCGGTATGTCTGCCGACACCGGGGCCTCACCACGTCCTGGCAGACGCCGTCGCCGCCCTGCAGGCGGTCGCAGCACTGCACCAGCTCCTGCCACTTGCTGTACATGGTCCACCCGAGCAGCTCGCAGCTGTGGCCGCCAACGTCGTCGACCGTGGCGCCGATCCACGCCAGAGTCTTGCCCACTATATCGGCGGCCTCGCGCAGGTCAAAATGTCCGTCATGCCACTTGTTGCGCAGGTACTTGACGCGTACGTACTCCTGCGAAGTGGACGAAAATCGCACATGCAACAAGTCTGAGCGCAGGAGGCCACGTGCACCGGCTTAACGGGTAAAAGGAACTTCATCACGGAGAGGACAGAGACATTTTGTTACAGGCCTTCTGGGCAGTTTGCCAATTAGTCTTTACACAACAGTCAAAGCTTTGGTTTGGTCAATACAGGCCAAATCACAATATAAAACAAGGTCCACTGTATCGTCATGACAGTCACGTGATGCTACGCCTCTATTTCCCAAATAACACTAACGAAGCCAGTTCTATTTTTCAAATAAGACGTAATGCTTCACTGAAGGTATTGCTGTCTCAGCTACGCAACCAGCAGAGCTCGTTTCCAATTGGAAATACTGACCACAATTTACAACGCACGTTTATAAGCGATGCCGCCTTAAAGCGCTGATGAATGTCATAAGTTGTTCTACACTAGAAGCACCCAATCAAAACATAATTTGACACGGCATGGTTTACATCTGCCGAAAACAGGAAACAACAAACCAAAAACGCCCTGATCACTGAAGAGAACACATCTTCGTTACAGAACCTCACAGTAAGGACCAATACAAGTGCAAGGGTATCATACCGTTTCCGCATTTGGATCCTCCTCCGGTTCGGGCTCCTGCCACGGCTCGGGTACGGGGTTCTGGACATACGCGTAGCAGCAGTGCAGCGCCAACGTCTTGCTGATTGGGTTATCCCAGTCCTCCTGCAGCATCAAGTGCGTCGCGATCTTGGCGGCGTCTGCAATACAACAGGGTCAGTGCACGGGGGAAAAAGCGCGTGCTGTGTACATGGTTGAGCAAAGTGAGGCAACTCGATGCATCAAATTGGAGGTGTTGATCGAGGAAGAATCGGCTATGTGATTCAGCATCGGTCGCTCCATACCATTCGGCAGCTATCCGTCAGAGCTCATTCCACCTTTATTTTCATCGCTGGCGTCGCCAGCGCCCCCCCCCCCCCCCCCCCCCTCTACGCACAGCGAGCACCGGCAGGCGCCCAGCTCTCGGTCACGAGCCGCCGTCGCACCTCTTGTGTTGCCCTCGCGCACGAATGTGTCCATGAGCATGCTGGCCGTGTTATGGTCGAGGAAGACGCCGTAGTTGACGCGGTCGTCCAGCATGTCGAGCAGGCGGAGGCGACGGTCGGCCGAGGCGGCCACGAAGGCGCGCACCACCAGGTGGCTGGTGGACGGCAGCACGCCGGCCGTCTGCGACGTGCGACGAAACCGGTGCACCAGGTCCTGCAGGTCGTCCAGGTGCTGGTCCGACGTGGCACACAAGGCGAACTGACCGGGAGGAGGGGGAAACGGTCAGCGGAGCGAGGTGGGCGCAGCACGCGGCGGCGGGGGACCGTCCGACGGCCCGCGGACACCACCGCCTTACCCCACGATGGTGCAGGGGCGGAACACAACACAGCTGCGGATATACTGCCACCTTTCGTTTCCTACGAAGTGCGTGATGATGATGATGATGATTTGGGCTTTGGGGCGCATCGACTACGTTGGTCACATGGTGCCCAAAACCCCTACGAAGTGCGACCATCGTGTACCACCCACAGACGGATGATGCCCATGACATGGCGACCGGCACAAGGGATATTGAAATTCAGCTTTGTAAATATCGAGTTGACTGACATCAGGCATCATGGAAGTTTTGCGCGTTCACACGTAGGCGTCATACTCACCAGATCAATGTCCACGGGCAGCACCTTCCCTCTGGTCTGGAAGTTTTTATCCATGGCGAGATAGAACTTGTCTGAGAACAACTCACGGCTGTCAGACTCGACAGGCATCAATGAGACTAAGCGAACAGAGAATGCAATACATTTCAAAAGATTGAATGCATTCGCCGAAGATCTTAGCACGCTCGGCTCAGATACAACATGACACAGATGCTTCTAGTGGTGAATATGTGGTAAGCTTCACAATGTGCCCCAAACATATTGAAATACATTTCTTAGCAGAATGTTACTACTACGATCTTACCCATGTTCAAATCCCGAAATATAGGGAGGCTGGTTCGAGTGTTCCAGATATCTTGACACCAGTAGGCATCTGATAAAAAAGTCCGTCTGCCTCCTACAAACAGAGAGTCATAAATGATGCTGATATTGGTCAACCTTCAGCATCCATACTGCCATTCCTGTTGTAACACGCTGTTTTAACGAACAACATCCACATATCGCAAGGGATGATAGGGATGGTAGGGCTTGTCACCATTATGACAGCAATTAGTCTGTGACTTTTGACATCTCCAAGGACTTAAGACAAGAATGTAGCATCTGTTTATCAGTAAAGCAATGCTAAAAGTGAGAAATGCTTGTTGGTAATGCAAACGACACTGAAGGCTTTGCTCCCATGGTGATATCGCGGCGTCTTAACTTCGCAGCACATCGATTGCTGCCCATGAGGCTTTACCTTCAAAACACTTTGCTCTTCTACAGCATCTGAGCAAAGAACAAGTCAGCAGGCGAAATGTTGTTGACTCCATCATCACCACTTGATGACAACTGTCTGGGTCCTTAATAACCTGTGTTCTTCAACCGCACAACCTGGCTGTTTAGCTTGCTGGCGTCTCATAAAACATCTGCGCGCAGGAAGGAACAAACAGGGGTAAAGCATTCATGCACTTCTTTGCTCATTAAGAACTCCCTCTTTTTATTTTGATGCTTAACATCTGCAATGGTGGCTTTGGCCTATGCTATATGTTGCAAACATGGGAACATCTCAAAAAGCACTGGTAAAAAAGATAACAGGAATTACAAATCTTCTGATACAGAGTGTCCATTCAGAATGAAGCCTAGGAGATGTGCATCCTAATCTACAAGGGTGGTGGTATGCAGAAACACAGCAGCAACTGCCGTGCTAGTCAAAGCAACACTGTACATATCTGTGTTATAGTGAAGCTATATATACCCTGCCAGGGTCAGACCCAGTCATGCACTTACTCTGAAGGACCACCTAACCCTGCACGTGTCATGAGTCAGACTCCCCCACAAGTCAGCACTCATGGAGGGGCGGAGCGCAGCGGTAGAGGTCAGAGACCCAGTAGCGGCCCCCTTTGAAAGCTCCCTCCAAGCACCAGGCATGTAGAGCCGACGGCCAGCTTCCATTTCAGGTAGATGTCTGTTGACCAGGGTCACAACTAGCTGGACGTTACATCAGTGACAAGTGAACCAAGGAGTCCTTTCTCGTCCCAGCGCCGCACACCGCTAACCCAATCCCTGCATCAACACCACATGCTAATACCTCAGAACATGTGTAAAGTTGGGCGTAGATATTTTCCAATTCTTTCAAGCTGTGCTATCATGCAGCAAGGCCTGTCAATGTCACCACCTCAAATTAACCTGGATGCCCAGGGAAAATGGCTGAAGCAGTAGCTCCCTCCACCTAGCATGTCAAGAGTGCAACACAATGTGCACCAGCAAGCTTCCACAGCCGCACAAAATGGCTGTCATCGCCACCTCAAACAACTAAACCTCTGCAACTGGTTCCTGGCAAGACACCTCAACAGTACCAGATTTTGCAAAGTGCTGCCACGAAAGCACTCCAGAATCCAGAACTCCACGTACCATTGCAAAACTGGCCAACTTCCACCAGCCACGGGCAGAGGCTATCTCCAAAGCACATCAGATGATGGTGCCTATGTGCTCATTTCTTTACCATCCCTGATACCTGCATAAGGCCCTAAACTCTATTAAAGAGACTGCTATATGCTAAAAAAGAAGACCAATAACACTGAAATGATCCACCCGAGTGATTTGTCAACACCAGCCACTTCCAGGCATGAATCAAGGTTTACCTACAGCTGGCACTGTGGGGTTAGCTTGACCCTCAACAATTTTAACTTGTAACATAGGGCCCAGTGACCTTAGTGCAGAAGCACTTGGTTTTCATGATTTTGCTAAGGGTTGTCACCACTGCAGCCAGCATGGTGCAAAATTTCTTGCATCCTATGAATGGCAGGCAGTCCAGATTTCAGGTTCACCATAACCCTTGTGGAAGGCTTAGTGGTGCACACACTGAGGCTCAGTATTTCTAAGAAAGTGACTAATACACAGCCTGCCAAGTATGCCAAACTTCTGTTGGACTCAGTCAGGGAGATGACATGCTCATTTACAAGTGCACAGCCTGCCCATGCTTAATTGTTGTGTGCAAAACAGCAATAATCAGCATATCCAGAGCAATAATTCCAATGCATTCTGGTTGCTGCATTTTATGAAATATGTGTTGAATGTGATCAATTTAATTTTCAATTTCCTTCTTTTAGAATTTCTGTATTAATAAGAACTTGAAAAAATGCAGCAGTGTTCAAAATGCAAAAACAATCTAGTAGCAGGGTGCAAATTTTCTATAGTGGAGCACAAAAATGTCTGATTGCCATGGGGCATTATCATCTCATGTAAATTATCTTTGAGAGATACCAGTACAATGGGTGATACTACACAAAAGCACCACTTTTCATGTACAGCAATTCATGTAAATGCACTTTACATGAAAGGAAACACTGGTATTAACCATGGATCACTGAAACAATGCCATCTCAGGCTATGTACTATGAAACACAGGTGCATATATATGGGTTTGCAATTTATGACAGGCTGTGTGTGGTAACCATCCTCCAAAATGGCAGGTGGCCACACACCAGGTTAAACACCCTCCAAAATGGAAAGTGGCTATGCACCGGGCTTGCACACCCTCCAACATAAATGGTACACAAAAAATGTAAATGAACGTGTCACAGACGGCCACCCACTTATGCTCCACCACGATCACGCTCAAGGTACACATTGCCACTTCATGTCAAAAAAGACCATTGTATATCAATCGTTGTCTTCAAGGTAGAACATATCATAATTAATAGTAAACCAGGTCATCTAAACTCTTACCTTGGAACTTTAATAACTACAGTACTACTAACTACTAAGTCCGTCCCGGTAGCTCAGTTGGTTAGAGCGCCTGCCTTCCGATCCACCCACCCGTTCCACCCACCCGTGGCGGGGTGGGTTCGAGTCGCTTTAGGGCGCTCGCTATTTGCCCTTGACAGTTATGGCCTGCGGCCGGTGGCCAGCGGTCGCGCTAAAGGTCAGTTGGCGTCAGAGGGCAGGACGGACCGTGCCGAGCATTGCGGCACGTTAAGCTTTCGCCACAAAATTCTGCCGTTGACATGGAACTGCGCGATCGGATGGTAGGGGTCAGGGCTCACACAACAAGCACTGCTTAGCGTGAGGTCTGATCCCTGAAACCCATCCATTCAAAGGGTTCGGATCAAATCTTAAAAAAAAAACAGTAGCGAACATCCGAGCGCTGCAAACACGCAGCAACCGCGACCCCGACGCCATTGCGACGCGTGATCACCACGATCACAAAAGTGTATGCGGCCAAGGTAACAAGAATCTAATGAAATATGTTTTGTGCGTATGGTATCCACCATCCAAGCAGTCTTCCATACTGTTTGTAGATTGGTCAACATGGTGGGCAAATATGACATCTTTAGGTGGGGAATGAAAAGCAAAACGAGAACGTGACGGCTAAACAAAACTTCTGAATACCATACACCTATATGGCATGGAACATGGATGCCGGTGGGACACTGGGTTGAGGGGGAGAGGGTGGGGAGGTTAGGTAAGGTTAGGTTAGGCTAGGTTAGGTTAGGTTAGGTTGTTAGGTTAAACTAGGCTAGGCTAGGCTGGGCAAGGCTAGGTTAGGTTAGGTTAGGTTAGGTTAACTTAAGTTAGGTTAGGTTAGGCTAGGCTAGGTTAGGTTAGGTTTGGTTAGGCACATTTAGGCTATGTTCTGGACTATTCTGGCCTGTTTGTTTCATCAACATACCTCCTTGTGATAAGAAATGTATTTCATTGCATTATTATTCTTAACCTTGGTCCATACATTTTTAAGGTTCTTGATGCTGCTTGATGCACAGTTATGTTGCGACTGTGCACAGTAATGGCACTGGTGTCGTGGGTGCTGCGTGTGCAGCGCTCAGGAGCTCGCCATCATAATTATAAAAATTTGTAGGTAAGAGCGTGAATCTACCTGTTTCGTGATTATTTACAATATGTCCTGCCTTTAATGCGACAAATGGTGTACCATGATTTTTTCTAACGTTAGGTAGGAAAGTACACCTTGACCGTGAGATCGCCATCTCTGACCACTTTTTTGGCTATTTATAGCAATGTTTTTCATTTCAAAGTATATTTTTGCTAAGGCCAACTTACCTGTTCTAATTTCACACCCTTACAGTCAGTGTCTGAAACTTGGGTGTTTCTTGGTGTTTTTAGCCCAGACATTGTGCTCTCCACAAATATACACTGCAAAGAATGTAAAAATTGTTCTCTGAGAGCAACGCCAGATGGAGGCAAGCTGTTCCTGCAACTTCGACAGCATCGCGCGCCACACTCACGACTGAACGAGAGATACTGCCTGCGGATTACAGCGGAATCCCTCTACCATATCACACATAATCTTTCCTTGCAATGCCTTCAGTGCCTAGGTCTGTTGCTGCTCACCAGCATATGTTTAACTCACCTGCCGTCCAATCACACCAACGGGCTCACGAACAGAGCCAATCCCGCACCCAAAACATACCAGGGAGAAGCGCGTGGAATGCCTCGCACGCGGCACGATTCAACATTTCTGGATTGCACGTAGAAATAATCGTACCACAAGAAAAATTGAAACGAAAGTATATGATGTAGGCGTTACATGTACCTCTAAGTATAAGATGAATTAATAATATATTGATGAATAAGTTACCGTTCCTTTTTTAAAACGTACTTTTATTGAAATTTCATTGGACACTATAAAAAATTGATATTGTATGGAACGTATAATCGTGACGCTAAACATCACCCAAGCACACGATCTGGCACGTGGAAAACCAAAGCTCCACGAGTCTCTGGCTCTTAGGGAGGATTTAGCATTGGAGAGAAGGCATATACTCCACCAAGAAATCCGAGCTGAATACGTGATGAACATGCACACAAGTGTCATCAAACAAAAGTATGGAGTTTTTCTATCGATCCACAGAGCGTTCTCACAGGATCATGGTCTGAGTATTAAGCTAAGGCAGTGTTTCTCATTCTCCGTTGAGTAGAACTTCTACTGGTGTATTTATATGATTATTCTCGTTTTTTTGGATCCACCTTTTGTTTTAGCAGGGCTTTGCCAACCAATATTTATTACAAAATCAACACGGTCCTAAAAAGCAATATCAAAACCGATAAATAACACACAGCGGCTCTGTCTTTGAAGACAGCTATCGCGTGCGCGCCATTTATGTAGCCTACCGAACCTTGTTTTGGCGCAAAGCCCTGGAGCAGAGCAAGGCGAGCAGAGGGCATAACCAAGGCCCTACAACAGGCAACACGTCGTCGAGCCTTGTTAATACGGATCCGTACTAAGAGGGGAACGGTGTTTAACGCCGATTTGTGCTAAAAGTGGCGGAGTTTAGCACGCTTAGGTATTAGACAACGTAGTCCCGTAACCCAGGGCTCCACATCGGAAATTAGGCTATTTCAGAGGTGAACCTCGTGAATTTCTTTTCGTTCTATGGGAGTGGAAAACCTTCGCCATTTTGACATCCCAATTCTGATTTGATTGCGAGTTGCTTCGAGCGCGCGGTCGGCCGATTGTTGGTCAGTGGGGGGCATGGGCAAGCGGCGAGGGAACGTGCCCAGAGAAACACTTGCACCTAATTTACAAAGCAGCATGTTCTGCGAGATGAGTGTGGTATTGATATATCCTGGACTACAGGCCTTGGGGTATATCGTCTTGCGGGTAGTGCGGATGATGGAATATGGTTCTTGGGCTGTAGTGGTTTGCATTAGGCATAGGTTTGGCTCAAATTTCTTGAGTCACCTAAGGAATGGCTTACAGAATTTAGTATCTGATTCAGCTCATGACTCATTCCTGTTCTATATTTCATTTGGCTTAGTTCAGATGCAGTGCTTTCATTGAGTCATTTGACTCCTTACCTTACCTTACCTTACCTTATGGTGATCGGGAATTGTAAAAGGCCACTAGGCCTGTAGGTCCCGGTCTCGTCAGGCTCCCGGTCCGGTAACCAGACAGTCTCAAATTATAGGAATATTCAGTGTGGGACGTCGTACATGATGTCAGCCCAGTGCGTATCAAGCCTAGCCTTGAACTGTTCAACTGAGGTCGACGACACGACCGGGTGCGGAAGAGCGTTCCAGTCGTTGACAACCCGCGTGCTGAATGAGTTGCGACGGGCGAGAGTCCTAGCTCGAGGTTTTCTGAGCTTCCATTGGTGTCCTCTCGTCACCTCCGAGTTGTGCCTTGTCACGAACTCCTCTTCCGATAGCGACATGCCTCCATGAAATAGCTGGTACACTGTTACCATGTCTCCCCTGCGACGACGATAGTACAGTGAGGGCAGCTGAAGGAGTCTGAGCCTCTCAGGGTATGGCTGGCGCCTAACTTCATAGACAAGCCGGGTAGCTCGTCGCTGAACTCGTTCCAGCCGTTTCTGGTCCAGTTTGCCGAACGGGCCCCAGATAACGTTGCCATACTCTAAGTACGGACGTACTAAGATCTTTAAAAGCAATGGCAACGTGCGAGCATCGATATTGGCAAAAGACCGCCTCACGACCGCCAGCATCTGGTTGGCCTTGGAGATCGATTCCGCCGTCTGCACGTGGAACTGGAGCCGGTAATCCACGAAGATCCCGAGGTCCTCGGTGGACTCGACCGCGATTTCGGCACCGTCCAAGAAGTACGTCAGCCTCGGGTTGCAGTTCCCGATGTGCATTATTTTGCATTTTACTGCACTAAAGGGGAGCAGCCACTCCTTTGACCACTTGGCCAGGGCGTCGAGGTCAGCCTGCAGAGGTGAGTGAGTCAGGGGTCCCGGGACACGACAGTAGACCTTGGTGTCATCCACAAACATCTTGACCACGCTTCGCACTTGCTCTGGTAGATCGTTCGCGAAAATAATGAACAGCGTTGGTGCAAGTACTGACCTTTGCGGGATGCCGCTGACGACGTCGGTCCAGTCCGACTTCGAGCCCTGGACCCGCACTCTCTTCATCCGATGAGTAAGAAAAGCCCTGATCCAGCGTAGCAAATTACCTCTCACACCGTAAGCATGAAGCTTGGAGAGCAGACGGTTATGGGGAACAGAATCAAAGGCTTTGCTGAAGTCCAGATACGCCACGTCCACCGGTTCTCCATCCTCTACCGCGGCGCTCCAATCCTCCATGACCTCTAACAGCGGGGTGGTACAGGACCGCTTAGGGAGAAACCCATGCTGGGCCGCATGAAGAAGTCCAGACTCTGAGAAGTGATTAAGTAGGGCATCACGGACGAAAGTTTCAAGTATCTTGGAGGGAATAGCAGTAAGGCTCACTGGGCGGTAGCTCGCTGGAGATTGTCGGTTACCCTTCTTGAAAATCGGGACCACCTCGCTAAGCTTCCATTCCAGAGGGAGCCAGAGTGCCTGACTCATAACTGATGCAGGTTGTAAAAGGTAAGTAGTTCTCAGCTGATATTTTGGAGATTCCATGATCAACAGTATTGTGTTTGCTGCTCAGAAATAACAATCTTGTGATGTTGTGCAAAGCATTGTGATTAATGCCACTTGGTGTTCATTTTATCTTCCTGAAATTGTATGTTGACTTCCCTAGAACACAATATATTTCCTCATCCTGCCAACCAAGTTCAGCCATATGACTCACTAATTACTGATACAGCATAGTTGAAAATGATTGGCTCATGATTTGGCTCATGCAATGTGTGACAAATGCAATTTAGGTCATGACTAAAAGCAGCATTTTTCTTAGTAAACAAATGCAGGTTATAACTCATCCCAAAACAATTGACTCATGGGCTCATTCACAATTCACCTAACATCAAACATGGGTGTGGTTAGCATGTGCACACATGTGCAAGAATGTTGCATTTGAGTACATGTCTACTTGGTTGTGTTCATCACATCAGGCAAGCAGGCATTACTTTTGCATGTTGATTGTGTCCAAAAATGTATGTGCATATTGGCTGAATGTTTATATATCTTCTGGTTCATGACTGATATTCAGCAAACTTCTTGATGAATAACATTGGGTTTCCTGTTCAGGAACTTCAGTAAGAATTCTGTGCTGATGTTGCAAAAAGCCTTATGACTAATGCTGCATGGTGTTAATTTTGACACTGACATAACATGTGAGTTTGCCTAGGACACATTGTATTTCCTTGTGCTGCCAGTTTATTTTCAGCCCCATGACCCACTGAAGCCACATGGTTGGAAATAATTAACTTCTGATTCAGGTCATGAAATGTATGACAAATGGGAGTCAGGTCATGAAGCAAAACAACATTTTCCTGATGAGCAGACACAGCACATAACTTCCCCAAAATGATGGGCTCATGAACAGATTCATGATTCAGCCTGAGTTGAACACAGGTCTGGCCAGCATGTGTATATGTGTGAACAATGCTAAAGTTTAGTAGATGGTTACCTAGTTATGGTGATCACATCAGAGGAACTGGTATTATTTTGACATGTTAACTGTTAACTGTGCTGTTAAAAGGTTTTGTTATCTCATGCCCAGCCATGTAGCCAGACTTGGGTTCATTTATAAGTTGAAATCCTGGATGTGAACTGGTGTCTTTTAGGATGTGCATGCCTGCAGTGTGTATATATATATATATATATATATATATATATATATATATATATATATATATATATGGGTGTGGGTGTGGGTGTGTTCATATATGTATATATATATATATATGTACATGTGTATATATACATGTATGCCTGTGTCTGTATGTATGTATGTATCCCCTAGTTTCTGGCTGAGGTTTTGCAAATGCATGGTGTTTTTCCCCCTAGTGCTATTTCAGTTTCAGCCATCTTAAGCACTGACACAGCATTGGCAGACATGACCAGCTCATGATTAAGCTTATGGAATTTATGAAGAATGTGATAAGCTCATGACTGAAAGTAGCATTTTTTGTAGTGAACTGACACAGCTCACAGCCCACTTTAAAATGAATGGCTCCTGAGCAGACTCATGGTCCAGCTTGAGTCCAATACATGTCTGGTTAGCATACGCATCTGTGTGATTCTCCATTTTAGCAGATGGATGCCATGTTATCACCATGACGTGGTATCAGGGGAAAAGGCATTTCATGCCTGAAATGTTGACTTGATTCGAGCTGAGTCACGATTTTGGCTCCCGGATGTGAACTGAACTTTAAAAGGTGTATGTTAGAAGTAATATTTTAATTTAGTTGATGAAAGTGTGTCTGGAATTAGAGCATGCAGCATGTAAATGTTGTTTTGCAAAGGTCTCATGGTGCATTTTATGGCAATACGATCAAACAAACTTTTGTATACGTACTGTGATTGTAACTACATGTTTAAAATGTCGTACTCTTGCTGGAAATGATTATGGAACTGGTCGAAAGGTTCAACAAACATGTTAACTTTGGCAACATTCTCCCTTGGCACTCCAAAAATAAGTGCACAATATGAAGCTGTAAACAAACGACCAAGGACATCAATGCTGAATATGTTGCGATGGACAACCAGCAAGGTGCAATAGAAAACCTGCTCCCTAAATCCTCAGTTACATAGTGCATGTATATACATATATACATATATATATATATATATATATATATATATATATATATATATATATATTGCATAGTATTTTGTGCAGACGCAGATTGATCAATCAACCACAGATAACAAATAATATCCAAAGTTATTGGTCATAAGGTAAATTTATATCAATGTGTTTTTTAAAGATAAAAAGTTTCCAAACACGCACGTTTGAAAGTACGACAAAAACACATTGATTCGGAATATTGACGCTTCTGCTCATGCTCAGCAATTGTTATATGAACCAATGAGGTCATAACAAAGGTATCGGTGCCTATAAATTATCGTCCCTCGATTAGGCCGGGTTCACAATGTTGTAGAAGCTTCAAAATAAACCCTTGCACAATCATATGCCTATGGGTTGGAGAAATATAACTCGGCGTTGGGGTGGATTTTAATTCCGCGACTCCTGAGACACTGATGTCAGGATTAGTTTGCATATTCTAGCACCCACCTTTTTTCCTTCAGTCTGTGGACATGCTTCAATGTTGAGTGTGGTGTCGGAGTGCTATAGAGTATGTATAGAGTATGACTGTTATTATCAGAGTACGAATATCACTATCAGAATGCATCACCATCAGAGTATGAATAACACTATCAGAGCATGAGTATTATTATCAGACATGGTGAAACACCGTCATGTGTACTATATGAGACACGATTCTGCACCTATGTTCCCTGTACAGTGACGATACAAGCGAGGGACTGAGCTGCAAGCGTCAGATTGAAGAATGCATGTTACGATGGCAATGCCTTATGTTCTTGAGCTTGTATCCACTGCTGTGATCATTCGTTCCCATACCCCGTCATCTTCGTTCGTCCATTGCGAAGTTGGTTTGCGGTTATGCGCTCGGTGGTGCTGGTATTTAGTTGTCTACGGCTCGGCTGCGGCTGCGACTCTACGACCCACTCAGGTGTCGGCTGTGGCGTCGCCTGCTTTTTACCCCGAGAGGAAGGGTGGGCGCTGCGAGTAATCGAATCGAATCCCGAATTCCTGAACTTATTAGACATGTTCGGCTTGTCCACTCCACTGTCGGCACTCCTATGTATTCAGCTGTGATAAAGTCAACCTACGTTTTATTTTCACAGGTGCTGGACAGAACTGCTGAGCAACACAGACGCTAGAAGGATTTGGTGGACTTCACTGTTCGAGCTGCAAGAAGCAGAGTTTCCGGGAAAGAAGACCAGACCACGGAGAGTTATCTTTCACCAGCCCGGCCAGCAATTCACTGTTATCCATGTAATACGTCCCTCGCCAGCCCAGCTCCTCCAGAGACGCCCACCCGTTCCCCGCCAGCCCAACTCCGTCATAACGCCCATTGGCTTCCCCGTCAGCCGAGCTCTCTGCAGGACCACCCATCTGCTTTCTGCGAACCCAGCTTCCGCCACAAACACTCAGCTGGCCGTCGCCAAACCATCTTCCTCATACGAAACCCACCCGCTCTCCGTCAGCCGTGCTCGCCCATAAAACACCCTAGGTCGGTCTTCAGCCCACCTCCACCGTACCGCACCCGCCGGATCCTCGCCAGCCCGGCTCCCCTGTTCCGAAACCACCTGTTCCCGTGAAGCCGAGGTCCCTCGACCGCGCCTACCGCCACGATTAGGACTTGAGTCGGTTGGCTTGTGTGTGTCCCAACGCTGCATCAAGCGTGCGTTTTCTCGGTCAATTTCGTGTATCATACATTTGCAGCTGATTCGGGTTATACCCAGAGGCAGATACAAGTATTACAACGTGGGACTGAGTGGGAAAGCTGCAATTTACATCGCACCTCTGCTTGGTATGAAAAATGAGTGCATCGTGTATCCTCAAGATCCTGCTTTCGCCACGAATTTGAGGTGCCTTGCAGCGGTGCTTTTCTGGTTGTCAGGTATGCAATATGGAAATGCCAAAAATGACGCCGGCCGAAATAGTCTATGAAGTTTAGGAAAAAGGGGAAGTTTGTCCCACTCTTGGGCCTTTGCAAGGACGCCACCGGAGTTGTCTGATCACCTGCAAAGGCGGTTCGGACCCTCAGCTTTAGATGGAGATCTGGCCGTCAAAATCGGTGCCCATATGGTCCGATTTGTCTGGAAAATAGTTAAAACTGAACGTGCGAATGTGATTTTTGCTACAGCGATCATCGTTGCTGGTTTTTTCTTTTCGTTTTACGTCTGGCCACTTAAGTCACCGTACAATGAGACACATTCGACAAACCCAGTTCGCTCAAAAGTACATGAGGGGTAATTTTGGGTTTGGGTGAACATCGGCACTAACGTGCAGTGCCCGACGTGATTCGACGACCGACATCCTCAGCGTGATATGGCTGACCGCGAAACGCGCTCATGTTTACTCTCTGAAGCATATGTTAGAGAGTTCTTCATATTGCTTTAGGGTTTTGAACTGAAATAGCCGTCTTAAAGGCCAGTCTGTGTAGTTAACAGCCCCGCTTATCTTAAGGCCTAAACCCCTCTAGTTTCTGAACTGCATGCCCGCAAATATAAGGGGCCTTTTTTCGGGGAGAGTAGTTCAAGATCACCTTGGCATTCGTGACGTCATAATAAAGTCCTTCGAACCCTGCCACTCCATAAGCCGTGCGATGATTTAGGCCAATCAAGATGTAATGGAAGAGTAGCTCACATCAGGCGTTCGTGAGCACGGTCTTCAGATATAACGGCCGCCGGTTGGCTCTCAATGTGGTGCGAGGTTCGATGATGTATCATTATGTACCAACAATGACGTATCGAAGAGTATATTTAAGTTGTTGAGTGCATTTGCGACGAATATTGTTCACATAGACAAGACGGTGGTTCACACAGACAAGACTTATTTCTCGGAGAAAAACGAAGAGAGTAGAGATATAGATGCATTGATATTTCGGCAAAGCACCTGTATCGAAACGAACAGCGAAGTGAATTCACTTCGGCTATCTGTCTATCACATTCTGCACGGCGCTTGAAATCTATGTTTGCTGGTAGTCACCCCTCGGCCCGCACTTAGTCACCCAACCAGTCGCATGTTTCGTAGCCGTGCCCGTTTCGTTTCGTTTCGTGCATTGTGCCCCGCGAGACTGGCACTTGCCGCTGAGTGCTACGGCGGGGAGGTCCTGCGAGCCTTCCTACTCTGTCAGATGATGATTTGAAATACAGCATCACCCGACCGATGCGTTTGTCGTGAGTGGATGTGAAGGGAACTGAAATGAAGGAGAACGTGCTTTGAAAAGACCAACACAGCCCTCGTCGCCCGGTACACGAATGCGTAGTGTTAAACTGTGGGTCTGTTTTGCGTATCGGGTAGAACCGTGATGACGACGCGCTGCATGACATGCAGAGTGAGACCTGTGTACACCAGAAGTGAGGCTTCTATCGCATTGAGAGACAGTGGGGCCCGTCGAGCGACGTGGTTTGATCAGGTGCGCTTGGCACGGACACAGATGAGCCACTTAAATAAAGGAAAGTTTAGTTAGATCGGCAGAGTGGGCGAAAAAAAACGAGATGTTTCAAAACCGAAAAATTGTATCCTGTTGACGTGCTTTCGTGGCAAGCGATACATCCGTCTTTGTCTCCCACCTCCAGCTCAATTAGGGGTCAGACAGAGGTTATCTCTTTGAGATGTTACGTTTAAGACAGTTACCAGGGGAGAAGGGAAGAGGTTGCCAAGGATCACAGTGCGTGACAGTGGGGAAGGCAGGGCTGAAAACGGCCGTAAATGCGTAACGTAAGTTGTGGACGGGCCGGGAACGCCTAAAAACCATCTGACCCGGAGAACACACCGTGGCCGACCTGTATGAATGAGCAAGAGTGCGGTGCTGGACACTAGTGCCGTCGTTTGTGGGGCAGCTGTCAGACCGACTGGGCACGGGACGCAAGGCGGCGCGCCGGTGGCCCTAAACCAATAAAAACGGACCGACTGGGCGGCGTATCGGCGACAATTAACACTGCCACCGGCAAGGTCGGCAGCGAGGAGTGGGCTAACACGCGGTGTTGCGCACGAGATGAGCTGTTGGGAATCCATAGGTTTGACGGATGGAGGGTGTATGACGGTTGCCCTGAAACGCTGACTGAACAGAGGGTGGTCACGCATCAGCTCACAAATGTAAACAATGTGTCGACGGGTGTGTTTCGGGCAGATGCGAACTGAAGTTAACATGCGCCGAACAAAATAGAGTGGATTTGCGAAACTTCTAGGTATACCGAATGAAATCCTTGCCCGGCATATTGGGTGCTAAGGTCTTTCTCATGGGTGCCTTCTCTTGGGCTTGCGGGGTTCCCGCGTTTGTAATGGGGCCAAGGGTGGATCATTTCGGGCCTCCTGTTGATCAATAGGACGTGATGTTGACTATCTTGAGCCTCTTGCAGGTCAGATGTTTTCCCCTGCGTGCCTTAACCCTCACCCTGGTAGGAGGGGGGATCATACAACCCCCTAAGGTCTTTGAGGATGCCTCTCCGGCATGTCGCCCGATCGCGTCCAAGCTTTCAGTAACCTGTGAGGCATCCATTTGTATGTTTTAACACCAAAATCGTGTTCCTAGCTTTCTGGTTTCGGAGCAGTGGTGGTTTTGGGGAAAAAAACTGCACGGCGATATACAGCCGACGCGTGCGACGGGCAGCAACCAACGATGCCGTGGAATGCGCGCGGCGGACCAACATTGTCACGAACACGCGCATGGTCCGCCGATGACGTCGGCAACGATCCTCTCGTATTAGGCCCACTTGCCGGGGGCATATTTTCAGCAAAGTCACTCCAGTACCCGCGGCCATATTGCTAGCAGAACATATTTCACACATGCCACTTCAAGACCCTGAACAAACCGGCTGCCCGAAGAAACGTTAGTCGTGTAAAATCTCCCGTGTCAGGAATGCATGGAAGTAACCGCAGCGCCAGCAGCTTTCTATTGCAGAAGGGAAGAATAATGCGCGCTAATAGTTTCACTAGCAAAAATACGTTTTCACGTTAACCAGCGCTGGATGCCACTATTTATAGCGGCGCGGGAGATGATTTTCTGTTAAGGAACCATCCTGGCCGATTGTAATTATTGGTGGTGACCCATGGTAAGGTTTGAGGCTCAGCCCTGGTAGAGTTTAGTCCGGCGGCATTTCAAAGCATCTGACTCCCCTCGACGGATCAGATGGGGTGGGTGATAACCTTCTTGTTTACGACTGCCCTCCCCAACCCTTCGCTGCGCCAGGGTGGGGAGCTACACAGGCCGCCGCGCCCGGAACGGTCGCGTCGGTTCCCGTACGTTGGCCAAACGCTATGAACAGCTTGACTGCCCGCATGGGCCAGAAATCTTTTCGAGGTTCAAGTTTTGTTTGTTGCCCGGTCAGCTCCTGTCGAATCGAAGCACTAAGACCTAACATTCGACCCTTTTCTAAATTGGAGACCGATTCGCAACACATGTTGAGGAAACGCAGGCATTGGTTCTTTAAAGATTGATTAATTTTGCTATCTTCAATATTTAATGTGATATTTAGCAATCGTGCGAGAAGATAAACACGTCTGATGTGTTCGTGATGCAGTTGAGCACCAAACGTTTGAGAAGATTAACACATTATGCGTTCATATTCGTACCATTACATCTCGGCATATTTCCATTACAGCTCAGCTTGTAGTGCTTCAATTTGATTTGGTATCTGTTGTTTTTTCTTTGAGTGCAAATGAGTTGGGAAATAAAATCCCGGAGATAAGAAGCTGAGTAATGGTGTCCTTTCATAGAGAGCACATCAAGCAAGGGAAAAAAGTTTAATAACACTTTTCAATGTTTTAGGGAAAAGTTACGGAGCTATGTAAATCACGCTACCAGATTTGTGCGTTGGGTTCTGTTTTACG